GTTTACTTTTTAAGGAACTTCTATTATTTTTGTATTGCATTAAAAAATTTTAAGTTATAGTGTCAGATTGAGGTTATATTTTAAAGTTATATTTTAAAATTGTATTGTCCACTTCTACGCCAAATACTAGAAATTGTTTAAAATTAACACTATATATATTTCCCGTACAGTCAAGCTTGCGTTATTTACATTTTAGCGGTATCTCAAGCTTTTAGAACGCTCCCAAATCATCCTATTGAAATTTACGGTTTTTTTTTCATTACAATGTACATAACATGTTGTTATAAAATCGTTTATTTCAATTTTTGTCTGTATAATAACTTTTTATTTTATTTTTCTGGTACGTCACTGGTTCAATGCGAACGTATTCGTATAATAGGTTTCTTCCCAACAAGTGGCCGAACCGTCCAAAACTATGAACGAACAGTCGACCAGCGCAGTAAGGAGGATAGCACTAATGACAGTATTATTGTTCTCTCACTGACCAACTGTTTGCCACGAATTCTGACTAGTTTGACAGTTTGTAGGAATGATTATAATATTTCATAAGTTTACATGGTATTCACGTGATAACTCCGTCTGTTGGGTAGATAGGGTATAGCTTACTTGGTCTACTATATACTTAATAGTAATGTAGAAATGTTTCAGAACCCCGTGAACTACGTAAATACGGATGCCCGAAAAAAATTGATGGACCTTAAAAACATGCACCATTTTAATTTCATAGGAAATTAGGCGACAGAGTAGGATTTGTAGGTGCTCATGATATCGATTATTTCCGATAAACATGACATTACATCTCTAATTACATTTCTCTAATCATAAACATTCCAGTTAGTCATCGAAATAAAAATTTACGACTTCCTGTCTTCATTGCCGATAAGAATTGCTGTTTAAAAATGTAAAATATTTAGATTGCACTAATTTGGCTTATAAATGAACCTTTTAAGAACTAAAAAAAATCTAGAGGACAAATAAATAAATAACAAATCAATGTATGATAGAATAATAATAGGATTTTGGTTTAAAATTCAGCAAAATATGTTTATACGAGACGAAAACCTCGAATTCTTTGGAAAAATATTCCCATGAGATTTTTTGCATAAGTTATTACTTTCATAAAATATCGCAGAATAATATTCAAGAGGTCGTCCATGCAAAAAGCGGTCCTAATTTATTAACCCTAGATTACCGGACTTGTTTAGCCACACGTGATTACCGGACTATCGTAAATTTTACTATCTATAAAAAATGCCTTGTAATTACAAAACGTACGTTCAAAATCTGAACAGGAGAGTTTTTATCACTATAATAACATATTTTAAACGAATAAAAATAGAATTGGTTAATGTTTTAAACAGTCGATACATATTTTTCCACGATGCTCACCGCATATCGCATGCTTGCATACTTGGCAATATGTAGTTGTCATTTGCCGTTTTTGGCGTGGACAATAAAAGCAAATTTTTCTTTTTCTTTCTTGATATTTGGGAACTTCTTCTGCAGCAAGTATCTTTGATATCTTTGATATCTTAGGTATCTTTAAAATGTAAGCTATATCGTGACGTATATTTCGATGCAAAGTAGCGGTTACGAATCTTTGTCTCATCCATGGATCGGCAAGAGACTGGCTCAAATCCACCATATACTGGTACCGAGAGACGGGCTTTTTACTTCGTTTTAATTTGTTATATGTGTAAATGACATAGGAATTAATACTGGCTATATTAACCATATCATAAAATACACAACGGCCATCTTCGGGTTTTCCTGTTACAGCTCATGTTGGAACACATTTGGTCAAAAATATCTACACCTGATTGTGTATTATTGTAATTTTTTATAATTACAGGCTTGCCTGTTTCTTCTGATACTTCTGCCGTATCGTGCAAAGTTGAAAGCAATAAAACTAATTTCTGTTTTTTAGGGACGAAAGATAACAAAGTTTTCTTCTGATCAAAACAGAACATCAAAGAGTATGCATTTCGATCTTATAGTGCCAACATCTCTGTAGGAATTTCTTTTTTTTTTGCGAAGACTACCTAATGCTGTTAATTTATATGTCTCTTGCAACAGTTTATCGACTAGTTTCACTGACGTAAACCAGTTGTCCATGGTTACGTTTCGATTTGATCCATGGATAGATTTTGTTAGTTCTTTGACATAATGCTCTGCTAGTGGCAAACCATTGGTATTAGTTCTCTTTCCCAAATAGGAACTTGCATCCAACATATATTTACTGGAGGAATCACGTAACATAACAATCTTAATCCTGTTCTTTGAAGGTTTATTGAGGATGTACATCCTGAAAGGGTATCTTCCCTGGAATCCTAGCAGTTGCTCATCAATTGTAAGATATGATGATGGAGTATATGAAGTGTGACACATTTCAATTAAAATATCACATATTTCGCGGATATGAGTGAAAGGATCATTTACTTGTCTCTCTTGGCTTGTTTGCTTTTCGTCAAATCTACAATTTAGTAGAAATGTAAAGCGATTACAACTCATACACGCTCTGTAAAACATTCCTGAAATGGAGGTGTTAAACATATATTTTGCAGATAAATGGTTATCTTTTTTGTGGCAGAAAGGACAAGAATTGCAAGTAAGGCTCTTAATTCTTCAATTGATATTTGAGATACATTTTCATGATTATGTTTCTCAGCTTGTTTTACAATTTCTGCATTTGTATGTTGCAAAATAATTTCAAGTAGCGTGTTTGGAAAGAAATGTAAGAAGTGTTCTTAAAAGTATTACAGTTTTTAGCGGTACCTCTGGGACTTGATACGAAGTGAATAAGATTCTTTGTAGCTGTCCTTCTTGATTTATGGGGAACTTCGGTCGACCACTTATGACCATTCTTACCCTTAAAACTTTTTTTGTTGGGACTCCTACATACTTTGATTTTCCAGATATCAACGAGGAAACGTATTTTTAGTAGCAAGTTATTCGTGAAATACTAGAATAACATTGATCTTCCAAATGAAATGTTGTTTTGGTTTGGTAATTTTCTTCAAAAACAAATTGAAAGTTATAGTAAAGATAGTTCATGTCATGGACCTGACGTTATGATTTAGTGACGTCGATTAACGAACGAAACAATCAGGCATTGCTAAAAACATGCAGTTCTCTTCAGTGTGAGTGCGTTATCGTAGCGAGACAGAGACGAAATTGTATAAATTCATTTCATCTGCCCGGACAATTTTTTTTTCGGTTTTTTGGATCATTCTAAATAAAAAAAGTTTATTGTAATTTTTCTCCAAAATTGATCGTTTTCAACTTATAAACAATTTATAACTGAAAAAAAAAATACGAAAAATGATGATTTTTAAGATGATACTTTTTCTGTTAGTATCTAATACTTTAGTTTGGGCTTATTTGATTTTAAAACATTGTTTTTAGTTGTTTGAGGATTTATACGAAACTGATTAATAAATTAGGACCACTTTTTGTATGGGCGACCACTTGGACGTTATTCTGCGATATTTTATTAAAGTGAATATGCAAAAAATCTCATATGAATATTTGTCCCAAGGAATTCGAAGTTTTCGTCTCCTGTAAACATATTTTGCTGAATTTAAAACCAAAATCCTATTATTTTTCTATCATACATTGATTTTTTATTTATTTGTCCTCTAGATTTTTTTTCAGTTCTTAAAAGGTTTATTTATAAGCTAAATTAGTGCATGTAAATATTTTATATTTTTACATAGCAATTCTTATCGGCAGCGAAGACGGGAAGTCGTAAATTTTTATTACATCGTTCAATATGAGATAAAATAAAAATGCGATGACTAACTGGAATGTTTAAGATTAGAGAAACATAATATGTCATGTTTATTGGAAATACTGGATATCATACTAGTGTCTAGAGCCTGACCCACTATTCTGTGCAGACTTGCGCAGTCATTTGTATTCGTTTCTGAATGTGTCAATGAGGTTTATAATATCTATTTATTAAATGATGAATAGTTCCTCGAAAAGCTCTGTTTTTTTTTTAATATTTTTTGTTGCGCATATGTTTCCAATAAAAATGTGTTATACAGAGTGTGATGTCATGTAAATACTGATGCCAACTTTATTATTTTAGATGGAACATCAGGTATATTATTTAGTTATTGGATCCAATACAAAATACAAAGAACTTTATCAATATATTGGATTGTCATGCTTTTATTTAACTGTTTTTATTATACGATGTATTAAAGGCACAATCCCTTCTATATTAACTTTTAAATATATAGCCTTTAAGATACATTCCATTTCACACCTGGTAAAAATATGGCAGGTTTCATTTATTTGACATAATATCTATTTTAAAAGAATATAGGTACTATATAATATGTACCTATATGAGTACTATATAATATATTATTAAAAACAAGTTGAGATACGAAAATGAACTCACTCTTCTTTATTGAAATTAGGTATAGAACCTTTTAAAGTCATAAGGAGACACGCAGATAGTGATCTATTCATTAACCACCCTGTATCTTAAAATAAGTTAATTAAAACTATAACATGCAATATATCAAAGTTCTGGGAATTTTGTGCATAATCGGAAAAAATTATAATATACCTAACCAATGTTTCATTTAAAATAAGAAAGTTGGTATCATAGTAATTGATATATAACATCAGTCAACATCCTGTATATAAAATAACAAATTTTTATTGGAAAAAATGCGCAAAAAGTATTTTTTTAAATACTTTTTAAAACTTTTTTAAAAAACCTTTAATTTTGATTTGCTATTATTTACTATTAATTTTAGTTATTCTTATGCAACCAACAATACACATAAACCTCGTTGTCACATTCAGATGTGGATCTAGACACTAGTGGATAACATTAGCACGTGCAAATGTCGCCTAATTTCTTATGAAATCAAAATGGTGCATAATTTTAGGGTCCATTTATTTTTTTCGGGTATGCGTATTTACGAGGTTCATGAGGTTTTGAAACATCTTTAACAATTAATATTTCTATATATTTTTAGGTTGTTACTTCACGACAAAGCTGGATTAAGCAACAACAAGAAAGTCACCGAATTTTGTAACAGTCTGTATGAATCTGGCAATAGATCACCCTTTTTGCTAGCTATAATTGTAGACATGTGTTATGAACAAATCACTGAAGGTTCTGGAGATTCCGAGTACACGTTAGAAAGAGCAAAACAACTTTGTGAAGACCTAATCAACAAGTATGATAAAATTAGAGCCAACTATTGGCAACATATGTTGGACACGCTTCAAAGTTCTAGTAAATCTGACGAGGCTTCGGGTACTACCAGCAATTAAGCATTGAAAATTTTGTTATTTTCATTTGGACGATTGAGTTTTTGGCTACGGAGGTATATTTATTTCGGGGTTGTGATATATAAATATACAGTATATACGTTTATATAGAAAATGGGAATGTGATTTTATTAATTTACCAAAAAATTAATTATTATAATTTAATCCTTTATTGCATGTTATATGTTCTTTTAAAACAAATTTTAATTAACCACTACAATTAATTAACCATTTCAGGTTATCAATTTTGACATTTCTTTGCACATATTTTTAAAGAACCTATATATGGGTTCCGAAAAGTCACTAATTTCTGAGACATGTTCTGGAACATCGTTTATCCAATTAACTATAAAACAACCACCTACATCGTTGGCTACCAGTTGTTTAACAATAAAATGACACCTCAGTTGTGTTACTACGAACAGACACTTGAGATGCCAAATTTATTGCTAGGGCTTTGGCTAGTACTCTTTTAGGTGTAGTAGGTTCTTACCTTAATGCCAGTTGTACAATGATAAATTTGGGAGGCACGAATAAAAACATAATACAATTTAAATAGTAATCATCAAAGAACCAAACGGATGTAAAATAGGAATCGATGGCATCAGTATTGAACAAGTAATTGAAATAAAATAACTTGGAATTACACTGTCCACCTATGGAGACCTGGACAAAGAAGTTAGAGATCAAGTACAAACTGGCAGGGTGACTTAATAACACTATATGGCGAAACTAACATATTACTATGAAGATAAAGTCAAGAATTTATAGAATCAATGTAAGACCATGCACAAGAACTAAGACCTGACACAAAGGCTACTGGAAACGACAGGGATGAGATTACTGAGAAAAGTTACAGGTTTGAGATCGAAAGAAGAGTGAAGACATTAGAAGAAAATGTAACGTACAGTCGAATGGACACTAAAGAGAAAAATAATGGAATATCCACATAAGCAGAAAGGTGTCAATCCGTCAATGAACAATCAGATTGGCTTAGAACGATGAAGAAGAAGAGTTCTTTCATTAATGATCCCATGCCGTACCAAGCCTAAAATGACTATGATTTCGCCAGCTATCTTAGGTATCACTTAAGTAGATCTTTCCCTCCTGTATCGTACATCTACTGAGAGCTCGGTGATGCTATAGCTGCACCTACTATTAGTAGTGTCAATAATTATCCTCTTGGATGTCATTTGTTAGCGTTTTGCGCTCATGTAAGTTTCAACTACACTACAAATAAGTAAGGCAATACACCTTGACCCTAGTTTTTGCCTAATTAACACAGGTTGGTAGCTGATAACACCAGTTCTATCTCAGAAATTTCTTCATGAATAAATTCATAAAGAACGACCAACAATTTTACCTTACATCTATTTAATTTGAGCTTGAAGTTAGTTTAAGTGTATTATTTTGTGGTAAATCCCGTTCAACATGGGATGCAATAAAGGGTTAAGGAGTATTTATGAATATTAATGTTTTGGAATTTTCCTATAAGTTCCATTGCACATCATCGATGAGCTAGTTAAATTCTTCTACATAAAGTGTTGTTTTAGTTTTATTAAATATTTCATATTGTTGTAATAAGTAAACAATTATTTTTTCAATTGGGAACATTGGTTAAAAAAATTATACACTACGCATATGCATGTCGTTGACAGCAGCTATCATGGAGGATATCATTTAAAATTGGTGTCAAAACATCAGGTTTTTGAATGAGAAATATAGAAAAACTAGTTTTGCTCTTGGATCTCCTCATACGAGGTCTGGCTATTAAACAACGAGACTGATTATGAAAAAGAGTTTTATTTTAAAAATTATTCTACAATCGAATGCTCCCCTTCCCTTGTCAGGCACCGTTCCATTCGTTTTTTCCATTGGTCAAAGCAATGCTGGAAGTCTTCTTTTGTAAGAGCATTTAGGAGCTCCGCCGATTTTCGCTTCACCTCTTCCATCGACTCGAACCGGGTTCCTTTTAAGGCAGACTTGATCTTCGGAAACAGGAAAAAGTCACAGGGTGCTAAATCAGGCGAGTACGGCGCGTGTTCGAGCACTGGAGTGCCTCTAGCGGCTAAATAACGCTTCACAGACAGCGCGTTATGGGCAGGTGCATTGTCCTGGTGCAAGATCCACGATTTGTTTTTCCACAACTCCGGCCGTTTCTTACGAACTCGCTCTTGGAGCGTTGCCAAAACTTTCAAATAGTAAGTTTGGTTTACAGTTTGATCCTCTGGAACCCAATCAGTCATCACGATGCCGTTGATGTCGAAAAAACGATTAGCATGGCTTTAAATTTTGATTTCGACATCCTTGCTTTTTTCATTCTCGGCGATGCAGGAGTTTTCCAGTGCATGTATTGCCTTGCCGCTTAGTTTCAACATCGTATTGGAATATTCAGGCTTCATCGCAAGTGATGATGTTTTCCATCAATTCAGGCTCTTCATCTAACCGCTGAAGAAAATCTGAGCAGATCTGTTGACGGACGAGCTTTTGGTCAGGGGTCAAATTTTTTGGGACCAACTTCGCACAGACTGTCTTCATGTTCAATTCGTCATGTAAAATTTTTCTGACAGTTTCTTTATTGGCGTTTACAGTCTCAGCAATCATCCGAATACTCATACGACGATCTACGCGCACAATTTCATTTATTTTGGTCACTATTTGCGGAGTTGAAACAGAGACAGGTCGACCTGGACGTTGGTCATCCTCGGTGCTCTCTCGACCTTCAGAAAACCTTTTATACCATTCCAAAACACGCGAACGAGATAGAGAATTCTCACCATAGGCCTCTTTCAACAACTTATAGCACTCAGTCGGAGTTTTTTTAATTTAACGAGAAATTTCACATTGATCCGTTGCTCGTGTTTTTCGTCACACATTGTTATCGACACGAAAAAAAACACGTTCGTTTTTAACCTCTATAGAAAAAATACTACTACAGCGACAAAAACGTGTTTTCGTACTGAAAAACTAGACAATTCCAGCTATCCAATGCTGCGTTATTTAATAGCCAGACCTCATATTGTGGGATTTACAGAGTTCTAATGCAGCAATTACTTTTCTTAAAAGCGCAGTGTGGTAAATTTAGAATCACTTTTCCTCCTTAATGAGATTAAACTAGTTATTGTGTTACGTGTTTACCTTTATTAATATTTGTAATACTATATATACTACATAATGTAGAGACATTATATGAGTCATAAATTTCATGAGGACTAGTTGTATCAATGATGAAATGCAACGGAAATTGTAGAAAGAATAGATGTTTATATTGATTCAATCAAATTTTTAACAGCTATCTAATAAAAATTTGAAATTTTTGGTAATTTATACAATATCTCCGTATACTAAATATTCTTTTTATACTGATATAATTTTCCGTTAGTCACTCGATTTGATATTTATATGTAAATGATTTGTAATTTGCGGAATATTCACAGCTTCATGTTCCTATTATTTCTGCGTGAAATCAAATGCTAATCAGATGTACCAATAAAAAATACGTTCCTTTAAAACAATTATAGACTTACTAATTTCGTGACGTAGAGTTTGATGAGGTATACTATACATTGACTATACTAAGTTGCTAAATATTAGGTTTTTGGTATATTCTATAAAGTTTAAAGTTGTATCGTCTTCTACACACTCCATTGTCATTCACTGCTCCCTAGATTGGCCTCAGTACTTTTATTTCGAAACATCCTAACAGGTTTTCATTATTTTTTGTTCAGGTCCAGGTCAATTCTTGTAATTTATTTTTCTATTCTTCTGCTGCAGTTGGATCAGCTGACAATTTTTCACCGCACACGCCTAAAAAATGAACACCGTGGCGTTTTTTCTAGCGTGCCAACCAGCTATCACTCACATAAAATTTTTCTCCACTATCAAACTTACCATGTAGTATCTCAGCCTTTTCTTTTAAAATCGGGCCACTTATTACTTTACTCGGTCGTACCTTTACGACCGACGTTCTTGCATAAACAATAACCATAGTGCATCGTTTACACGTTCATTAAAACGTTTCTTTAAAGTACACATAGTCAAGAGGACTTTATCCTATATTTTAGGATTATTTGAGTGCAATAATCTTTAATGGTTTTCTTGTTTCGGCGCCAGTCTTTTACGGTTGTCATTCCTACACCGAATTCGTCACTAATCGATTTTACATAATGACCTTTTTCAAGCCACTCTATAACATTTAACTTGTCTTTAATTGACACTACAACACGTTTTCGTTTAATTCGACTGATTTCGAAAAGTTTACTGTGTACATAACAACAGTATATACATATGTATAGTTAAGTTTGTAACTTACACAAAAATAAACTACGACGTTTAGACTCACCGGCAGCGAGAGATCGACTAAACTAGTCAGTGGCTAACGTACATGTGGTCGTACGTTACGGTGCGAACGGAAATAAAATCTAATCTAAAAATAGTGTTATCCAACAGGAGTAGGGTCGGTGGGTTAAGCCGGCGGTCGGTTAATAGGGTGTCTACTGTACTTGAATCACCAATCGGAAAAATCAACTAAAAAAGGTCACAACATACAGTTGAACCCTCTGTTCTTCGGTAAGGAGTGGAATCGTGAAAGTGGCGGCTATAGCTTAGTAGCTATGGATGCGTAGTATGATACTGCCAAGCCGGACAGTCTGGGTTCGAATCCCAGCAGTGATACGGGTGGTCTCGGGTACGTAAGTAGCCATTAACACCAAAAATTTGAGCCGGAAGGTTATACGAATGGCTTTCGAAAATGAAATCGCCAAACTCAATCATTAAAGCCGCACCGATGTACCTCGGTGAGATTAGTAAAAAAAGTTTAGGAAATTGAAAGTATTTTTTATTGTTATATTCTGTTTTACTATTTCTGTTAGTAGAAAGTGATCGTCTTGTAATATTTACATGAAAGTTTATGTACTTAGATATACAGAATATCCCTATTACTCTACATTCCATACGACGAACTATGTAATGTGAGATTTTCTCATCACTAGAATGAATAAAATATTTGTTATTGGGGTAACATTGCCTGGATTACGAGAGTTGGCATGTAAATAACGATTGGTTTGGGTAGGTTTCGATAAAGGAGTAATGAAAACCTTGGGATTGGTATTTCTTTATGATAACGTCGAAAAACGGTACGGATGAATCAGTTTTAAGTCCATCGTGAACTGGATACTAGGACCATTGATATTATTACTGGAGATAGTCAGAAGAAATTTGCGAGTAAGAGACAAGATATATTTTCTAGGGTCTGCGTTGAAACTTACTGCTGTACGAATGACTTTCTTAATAAATCAACCTAATAAAGTAAGCGTGCAACTTTAGGAAATGTCTTTAGAAAGGTTATCAACCGTTCTGAAACTCCTATTCGATACAACACGTGTTACAATTATTCCGATCATTGGTTGATAACAAGTATAAAAATGTGACATTACCAGAAAATACGAAGGAAAGAAATATTCATATATATGAAGGAATGGGATAAACATATACAGGTTAACATAATAATTTTTTAACTTATAAATTTTACAAAACAAATGTAATTATCATTATAATCAATTGTGATTTTATTGAGTTTATCGAAAGTACAAGCTGAGTATAGCCGCAAATGTCAAAAATATTTGGGTTTGGTAGTGTTGGGATGTTTTTATAATGCATATGTTATATTCTTCAAATATAAAGAGAGAGAGCTTTTAAAAAGTACATATCGATTACACTATTTTATGAATTCTGCAATTTTTAATTTATATTAAACAATAACGCGTAAATATTTGTTTCTTTCGAGATTAATTGTAAATATCTGTTGTAATCTGACAACTGCGGATTTGACGATTGCCAAATCTATCCCGTAATCTATCAAAGATAATTGCCAAATAATTAACTGCAATTAATCTCCAAGGAAACAAATATTTACTCCTTCTTATTTTATATAAATCAAAAATTGCAGAATTTATAACACAATATAAACAAAATGTACTTTTCTAAAGTTTTATCTATGAAGCATACAGCATCTACATTATAAAAACATGCCAACACTGCTATACCGAAATTGTTTGTTCCATAATTGACCATTGCGGCTATAATCAGCTTGTACTTTCGGTAAACTCAACCTGTGATTTAATCCCATATATGTAAATATAAAAATGTTCTAAAGCATCCATTTCTGATCCAAAAATACTGACAGGTGGTTGGCTTAAAAGTATTATTTAACTCTTTTTGGAATAGCTGTCTATTAAAGAATGATACTTTCACTCGAGTGTTTTCACTTCTTTACATTGACACATATTACGGATTTAAATTTAAGGGATATTCTGTGGAAATGTATTATATAATTGAATTTCGAAGCGTACAATTGTAACATTTTTTATATTTTCAGATGCACATTACAGTGTATTGAACTTATAACACATTTATATATTTTTTACATTACTTATTCCTTCAATATATTAAAGCCCTGGAATTAAGCTTATTATCATATATTCTTATATACGTTATTGCGTATTACACAAGCCTAAAACAGTGATTGCACTAGAATTGTCTGAAACAGAAGATTCTTAATTGAGTCCCAATAATACCAGAAAATATGAGTACGTAGAACGATTATAGAATGGAACAATATACTTGGTTTTTGTATGCTCATTAACGTAAATATGATAGTATAATTTCACTATTGTAAATTAAATTTTAAAAGACCTTAATGTAAAAATAAATTTTTCAGTTTTAACCATGTTTTATTTTTTTTGTTTTTAATTATGTCCTTGAGAATCAGAATTGTAAAACAAATACTTTATTTGATGTTTCGGCTCCCAGATGTACATTCGGTCTATATAAATATACTAATGTTGGACTCTTCGTTTGTAACGAAATATTTTGCCTACCTCATAGGGTATTATTATGGGGGTTATAAATTGGAGACAGAAGTTACTGGGGAGGTGGAGATAGGGCAAGCAAAATAAACGATACTTATGCGAACGGCAAATGAAACAAAGGGGTACTTACGTAAGTCTCTTGGAACAACACAAAACAACAGGGAAGACCTCAAGCTATTTAAAATGGGAAGCCGCTTCAAGGTGCCAAATTATAACGATTAGGACAACTAGTTGTAACTATTGAAATAATTATTAGAAATAAAAAATATTTCTGTTTAAATGAAAATCAAAAAAGGGGTTAAAGAGTTAGTTAAGAGAAATAAACAAAATGGTTTAGAAAAAAATCATTTATTGTGTCTCATCACAAACAGTTACAAAAATAGACGATACAAAGATACTACATTAATAGTCACAAAAGTAAATAAAAAAACAACAAAGAGAAACACTTGCTATGTCATAGCTGTTTACAAACTCTAGGAGTTAGAGATACCACAAAAACTTACAAATAATTGTTACTGGGCTATAAACAGTGGCAGAAATAAATTATTGCAAATAAAAATTTATCTTCACAAACTCCCATGAAAGCACTTATTTATAAAAATTTATATAAACCCATTAAATTGATGACCTTCCTAATGCTACCGGATTGAGATGTTAGAATAAATTAAAACAAATTAAACTTTTGAAGAAGAATGTACTGTTAAAGTACATCCCAGAGGTCCTTTTCAGTGCGTCATTAATTATGACGTCATAGAATGAATTAGGTGTGTCGAGAATTATTTCATATAATTATTGAAGAATCTGACAGATGCCAGGATCGTACTTAGCCACAGGGGGTAATCCCGTATATTAATAAAAATAAAAAATAAACAATATTGTTTATTCAATTTATAAATATGGAAAAATTGAAATTGACGACAAAACGATTCATTTATTGAATTTTTGTATCTTCTTCTCAAGAGGCTGTCTGCGCGTCGAAAGTTGGCAATCATCACAGCGATTTTTAATTTTGAGACAGCGGCTCTAAATAAATCGTTATTACATGAGTTACGTCTCCTTCCTATGAATCTTTTTCTCCTAATTTTTCCTTGCTTAATGACCAGGAGTGGTAGATATTTATCTCCTCTCATCACATGATCCATATATCCCACTTTTTTCCTCTTAATTGTTAGTACTTCTCTTTCCTTATGTATACGTCACATGACCTCAACCTTGGTTATTCCATCTACCCATGAGATCTCTAGTACTCTTCGGTACATCCACATCTCGAATGCCTTCTTTTTCTTCAGTGTCCACGCTTCCATCCCGTATTATAATACGGATAGCACGTAGCACCTCAGCAGTCGTATTTTTAACTTAAGGTTTAAGTTTCTACAGCAGAGAAGCCTTTGTATTCTTGTAAATGCGCTTCTAGCCTGTTTGATTTTGATTCGTATTTCTTGAGAGCTGTCATTGTTTTCATTAATAGTTGTATCTAGGAATTTGAATTCTCTTACTATTTCAATAGGCTGATTATGTACATATATCTCACGAATGTCCTGAGTTGTCTTGGTTATTATCATATATTTCTTGCTCTGTTGAGTGATGGTCCATATTCTTCTTCGCTTACTGCGGTCACCTAATTAAGAAGTATCTGTAGGTCTTCATGTGATTCGGCTAAAAGAACTGTATCATCAGCGTATCTCAGGTTATTTATGATCATGTTATTAATTCTAATGTCTACGTTTCGTTAATCCATTGCCTTACTTAATATGTCTTCCGAGTATACATATTAAATAATACTGGTTTATGTATACACCCTTGTCGAACAACTCTTTGTACTTCTATTTATTCTGATGTTATATCTTCTATTCTCACTACTGCTTTTTGGCCATAGTATAAGTAACACAAAAAAGACTGTTTTCAAAAATTTATAAGGTAACTTATAAATTAATTACATAAATAAAATTCTATTTTGTACGTTTGTATGTACAAAATTAGACTTTTAGCAGATTAAATTATAGAAAAATACTGCCAGTGGGGATGTTTCCATAAAGATATTTCCTTAGACAACTTCATAGTCAAATGTTTTGGTCATAACTTAGCTAAACAGTTAATTATAGAGAAGCCAGTCAAATGTGAATATAAGAAATGGATGATAACTGGTTCCACTGATGAAATCCACAAAACTAATGAAAGTTTGTGTGTGAATTGGTATGACAATAGTGTTCTATGTTATCCAATTATGATACCATTGAACCACTAGGTCAAGTAAATACAAAGATCGCAATATGGTGAAAAAACTATGTGTATTGAATGGTATTTTGGAAAATACCATACAAATACCCAATGTCCCCATTACGCTGAAATAAACAGTAAATAAAACAATTTTATTTTCAGGGTAATTTTCAACTTACTTCACGAACAGCAGAAATTGGTAATAATGTTTGTCTAGCTTCCTTTTTCAATTGAAAATAGTTAAGCAATTTTAATATTAGAACTTGTTCTTTTTCCTTATTTCTTGTCATCTTGTACAAATACAAATAAACACACAATACTATATAAAACAAAATACAAAATAAAATTATACAAAACAAATACCAAAGAATATAAATATATAGCGTCTATATTCTTTGCAAATACTGACCTGAACGACAGCCGTTACCTTGCTGTTGGAACATTTCGAAAGAATGGCCAGCAAGGATGAAATTTTACGTCAACTGTCAGTAATAGGCGTATTTGATTGGCTAGAGAAAGCTCGCATCTAAATATCAACGAATCAATCGTAGGTTAGGATAGAACCTCTTATGTAAGCTTATTCTAACGCTGCAATATAGTTCTGTTTAATCACCGAACTACTGCTTTCTCCGTCACATCCAACTTAATGCATTAGAAAGAAATCTAAAAACTGTGACGCACTTAAAAGTACCTCTGGGATGTTCTATACCAAGCAGTCGAGCATATGCGTGTTCCCACTGTGTTTCTCCAAATACTTTCTCTCCCTCTCTGCGTCGACGGCCAAGATTTCGAAAGTCGTTCCTACAGTTGACAAACAATACAGATTTTGAATATGGGATACCTTCTTTGAAAGGAATGAGACTAAAATTTTGAAAGTACAAAAAAAAACAACAAAGTTACATAGACCTTTATTTTGCAACATTCTACAAAAAAGCCAAAACGGCATATTTTCTTTTAATAAGTATATGTACCTAATATTAACGTAAATTTATATGTACAAAGTTTTAAGGTTGACAATATTTATGTACAAATTCAAAACATGTATACAAACAAAAGTTTATCATATTAATTCAAATAAATTAAAACTTATAAAATTCTTTAACAGCGTACAGAGAAAAATAAAGTGTTTCCTCACGATGTATAAAAAAAAAGATGTTACTAAATTTTATGGAAAGCACAGTTTTGCAAAAAGAGGAAATATTTTATAGCTGACATTAAGGGGATTTTTCTTATATAAAACAATTAGTAGTAAATACAATAAATGGTTGAACATGAATTTAAGAGTAGATTTGTAGCGTCAAGAAAAAAGTACGGAAAAATCAAGTACAGAACGTAAAGTTCTTATTGGCAATCGGAAAACCCATTACAGGGAATTTGAGATACCCGTAAATTTCTATATTTTTCAGACAGCCCAGGGCTTTAAAGGATCTTACCGATTAGGGTAAATTATATTGGGGCGCATGGTAATCTTAATGTGAGAGCTAGGTCATAAAAGAGTCAGGGCAAATAAGGATGCTGGAAGCAAACTCACATTTTCTACGCCCGGAACTATTTTGAGAACAAACCAAAAAGGTTATAGTGCCCATCGGAAAAAAGTTTATGATAGATAGTCTCTCCGAAATTTGTTTGGGGAGAGCATATATGATATAATTTTTGGCCGATCGACAGGCACTCTAACTAATATGACTGGCTGTGAATCTCTTTGAAATAATTGGGATTAAATAAAATATTAATACGTGATAACATAGCTAAAATCTCAGTTACATAAGACAAATAGGGCTGTTTTAGTATTTTCTTTTGTCAGTTTCAAATATGAATAAAACCGTAAAGTAACCTTGATATTAGAATTTAACTAATGTGCAATATACAGAGTGGCCTAAAAGTCTGGAAACGGCTAATTATCTCGTAAAATGCTAATCATAATTGTACAAAATTTGAGGTACACCTATTTTGGGATACGGAGATTCCATATTTGATATTTACAATGTTGCCAGATTTGCCGTTTTTCTTATATTATTAGTAACTTTGGTTTTTCAAAATTGAGTCGATTTACACTTCCACACAGTGTAAAAGTTGCTTCATCGGAAAAAACATATTCTGTTAACAAAATTTTAATACTTTTCAATTTTATCCATCATTACCTCAGTAAACTCTAATCTACGACCAAAGTCATCTTCACTTAATTCTTGCAATAAGTTAATTTTGTATGATTTAAATTTATTTTTACGTAATAAACTTAAGACTGAAGAATGACCTACATCATGTACTTGTGCAACCCTGCGTGGGGATGTATGTGGATCTTCAACAAAACTTTGCTTATATCTGAAGTTTTGTTGTCATTGATAACTCGTTTCGGTCAACCTGATCGGTATCTATCTTTTACTTCTCCAGATTCCTCAAATCGCCTTATGAAATACCGTCGTCTTATGAATAGGATAACGGCATTTTAGAGAAGCAATTTAAATTGCAGAACTTTTTGAACCACAACTACTGCCAATTTTAGTTCATAATTTAAATGGTGAACAAATGTCAAAATCACAGCATTCTCCATTTAAATATTTAAATTTTGTAACGATGAGTCCAAGCCATCACCGTTAAACCAGCGTGCGCGCGAACCAACCCATGAAGAAGGAGTGTATCGACAGTAGAAAGGGCAAAACTAATTACCAAGCTCCGCTATATAAACCGCAACATTTCCACATAGAGGAGAATCGACAGGTGTTGACTGAAGGTTCTCTTCTTCCCTACCCCGGCTTGTGGACGTGTTGAGTTCACAAGTTGTTCCGTCCCATACCGCCGTTACCCGAAGAGCGTGTTGAGCTCTTCACTACCCGTACTCTGAAGCAGTCGTGTTGAGACTGTCGAGGAGTGTCCTATTAACCCGAATCACTTAAGGGACGTGTTGAGTTCCTTTCCTTTCTTTGTATCTATCGTCCGCTGTTATTAAATCGATACAACGTTCCCGTAAAATTTCAAATACACACTCGCTTGCCGATAAGACTAATTTCATATGACAAGGTCAAACTTAATTTGAATAAATAGGCCAGGTACTGAGAAGACCAAACCAAATTGTAAATATGTACATAAGATTTTTGTCAATTTAATTTAAGGAAGACAATAAAGTTTTATTTTTATTTTGAACTCTGTCTCTGACTGTCCAAAAGCTACCCGGATAGTGACTCCTACGAGAGGACATCACAATTTATTAAAATCTACATATTTTGCACTGTTTTATGTATTTAAGATCTTTCATACTACATAAAATCAAGTGAACATATGGTTGAACTCGTATTGAATACCTGAACTCGTGTGAAATTCACACTGAATGCGTAAAAACCATACTCAAAGACCACAAAAATTAAATGTATGGGCAGTTATAGTAGGTACTTATTTAATTGGGCCATTTTTTATCGAAAGAAATTTAACGTCAGATAGTTGGTGTAAATGTTCGGCGTTATTTAGATGAGATATTTCCCGGACGATAAATTGATAGACAAGGTAAAATTGAATGGCCTCTACGTTCACCCGATCTCAATCCTAAAGATTATTTTTATTAGAGATACATGAAAAATTCAGTTTACAAAACTTAACCAACAAGTCTTGCATAGCTAAGGCAATGAATTATCGATGAATCTCGAATAATTTCTAGACAATCATGGAGAAATGTGGTAGACGCATTCTACCATCGATTAGAGTGCTGTCAACTCACAAATGGAGCACATTTTGAACACTTAATAACGTAACTATTATGTTAAAAAATATTCAAAACTATCAATTGTTACGTTTTAATGTATTTGAAAATAGTTAATATTAAAAAATGTATTGAAACAATTTAGGCGTTGCCAGACTTCTGTTTTATGTGTTTAAGACCTTCCAGACTACATAAAATCATAATTGTTACATATGGTTGAATTCGTATTTAATAGGAGATTGCAATAATGACTGAATATACAGGGTGATGCATTTGAAAAACCAAAGTTACTAGTAATATAAGAGAAACTGAAAATCTGGCAACATTGCAAATACCAAATATGGAATCTCCGTATCCCAAAATAGGCGTATCTCAAATTTTGTATAATTATGTTTAGTAATTTACGAGATAATTAGCCGTTTCCAGACTTTTGGGCCACTCTGAATAAATTCACTTTAGAAAAAAATATATAGCCATAGGTATATATCGATAATTTTTTGATTTTTTCTTAATGTCGTTAGTTGTATGTACAAGCATTTTAAAACAGTATTCTTAATGTGTGTCTCTACCGTCAACAGTTATTTTTCTTGCCTATTGTACATTGTAAATAATAAAGGTGGAGATACACAATAGAAATATAGAGTATCCATTAACATTACTCTTCATTAAACAGCATCTTTCTAAATGCTTTCTTCCTTCTTGTTAACGAACCAACATCAACTGATATCCACTTAAATGATTTATTACTGAACCTGCAACAAAATAGAGTGAAATATAATAGATTAGAAATAAATTAGTAATATGTTAAAAGGAAAGACTGTTAAGATTTGATTTCACGTACTGTGCGTCTGTATATCCGCTTATACGTTTTTCATCCTAAAAGGAATCGGCGGAGCAGCTATTTACAAACGCTCTGAACGTGAAAACAATCTTTCCAAAATTTAGATTATGAAAAAGAGTTTTATTTAAGAAAATTATTCTACAAACGAATGCTCCCCTTCAATATACTCCCCTTCCCTCGCCACTCACCGTTCCATTCGTTTTTTTCCATTGGTCAAAGCAATGCTGGAAGTCTTCTTTTGTAAGAGCATTTAGGAGCTCCACCGATTTTCGCTTCACCTCTTCCATCGACTCGAACCGGGTTCCTTTTAAGGCAGACTTGATCTTCAGAAACAGGAAAAAGTCACAGGGTGCTAAATCAGGCGAGTACGGCGCGTGTTCGAGCACTGGAGTGCCTCTAGCGGCTAAATAACGCTTCACAGACAGCGCGTTATGGGCAGGTGCATTGTCCTGGTGCAAGATCCACGATTTGTTTTTCCACAACTCCGGCCGTTTCTTACGAACTCGCTCTCGGAGCGTTGCCAAAACTTTCAAATAGTAAAAAAAAAAAAAAAAAAAAACCCTAGGTTAAAAACCCTTTAAATTACATTTAGTTATGAAATGTTGACCTAATAAGTTAACCTAATATTTTGGTGGCTCAGGCATTATGACCTAGCATTTTCGATTTTAATAACCTGATGATGGACTGTGTAGTCCGAAAACGTTTGTTTTATTGATGTGGCCCTTTTAAGGGTTTTTTAAATAAATATACCCATTTACAAAGATTAACCTCTTTTTGTTATACGTGGTATACAGCCAGCTACAGGAATTTTTCCTTGTGGATTTTCAAATAGTAAGTTTGGTTTACAGTTTGACCCTCTGGAACCCATTCAGTCATCACGATGCCGTTGATGTCGAAAAAAACGATTAGCATGGCTTTAAATTTTGATTTCGACATCCTTGCTTTTTTCATTCTCGGCGATGCAGGAGTTTTCCAGTACATGGATTGCCGCTTAGTTTCAACATCGTATTGGAATATCCAGGTTTCATCGCAAATGATGATGTTTTCCATCAATTCAGGCTCTTCATCTAACCGTTGAAGAAAATCTGAGCAGATCTATTGACGGCGAGCTTCTGGTCAGGGGTCAAATTTTTTGGGACCAACTTCGCACAGACTTTCTTCATGTTCAATTCGTCATGTAAAATTTTTCTGACAGTTTCTTTATTGGCGTTTACAGACTCAGCAATCATCCGAATACTCATAGGACGATCTACGCGCACATTTTCATTTATTTTGGTCACTATTTGCGGAGTTGAAAGAGAGACAGGTCGACCTGGACGTTGGTCATCCTCAGTGCTCTCTCGACCTTCAGAAAACCTTTTATACTATTCGAAAACATATGCACGACATAGAGAATTTTCACCATAGGCCTCTTTCAACAACTTATAGCACTCAGTCGGAGTTTTTTTAATTTAACGAGAAATTTCACATTGATGTTTTTCGTCACACATTGTTATCGGCACGAAAAAAAAACCACGTTCGTTTTTAACCTCTACAGAAAAAAATACTACTACAGCGACAAAAACGTTTTTTCGAACTGAAAGAGTAGACACTTCCAGCTATCCAACGCTGCATTCGTTTCCCACCCTACCCCTCTAGGACGCCTTCTGCGCGCGCAATCGCGACATTTAATAGTCAGACCTCAGTATGTTTGCTTATACTTAAACAGGTTGATGTTTGTTTTTTCACTAATACAACTATAAATATTAATCTTTTACATTACCTTTAGATTTATCACGAACGTCTTCACTGAACATTATTCTTTTTTCTCTTCTTCTTCATCATCGTCCCAATCATCCATTAATTTGTTAACTTTTTCTACAGCAGAAGGAGCTGGATTATCTTTCTCGTTGGACATCTATAAATAAGGTTAAATATTGTTTAGTTATTAATCTTTAATGCAACATAAGTTATAGATTCGACACGTTCTAACCAAATATACGAGTAGATGAAGAACAATAACCTCCAGGACAACATTAATAGCAGTTTACATTGCGGTTAAGTATATTTATACAATTATTTAAGATCTTGTGTATAGTCTTTTGGAAGATTTATGTTCTTCTTCTTTTGGTGCCTATCCTCTGTATATGTTGGCAATCAGGTTGGTGTCCATACAACTTTGTTGACAGCTGCTCTAAACAGATGTATGGCAGTCATTTCTGCCCACTGTCTGATGTTCTGCAACCACGATGTCCTTCTGCGCCCTTGAGATATTTTGCCTTCTATCTTTTATCTATGCCCAAAGTATGTCATCTTTCTGATTTCACGATACGTATAATTTCCAGAAGATCCTCCGCATTATCAGCAATCAAAACCGTATCGTCCGCATAATCTTAAATTGTTTATGATTTGTATTGATTTTTATACCTTCTCTTAAATTATCTATCGCTTCTCTGAACATCATTTCCGAGTAAGTATTGAACAACGTCGGTAACAAAATGCAGCCCTGACGTACTCCCCGTTTTATCGTAAATTCTTGTGAGGTTTCGTTGTGTACTCGTACAGTTGCCTAGATTTTGTTCAGTAGACTCGTTAGGAGTTTGAGTTGGTTGTTTTCAAATAGTTTCAATATTTCAGCTTGCATGTTATCAGGTTCAGGTGATTTGTTGATTTTTAGTCTACTGCATATGTTTTTTCCCGTTAAATTTTTGATCTTTTTGTGTAGGTTAAAAGTGTCATGCTTCTGTTCTAGGGATCCTATTTCTATGCATTGATCTTCTAGCCATGATTCTTTTGGCTTTTCTTTTTTTCCTCATTCTTATTTCTGTTTTCTTGTCTCCTCCACGGATGTTTCTTTATATTGTTTTCTGATTTAAGTTTATTATTTACCACTGAATTTCAGATATTTTTGATTTTATTCTACATATCATCCACACTTATATTTTCTTGATTAATATCTGAGATTATCATGCTGTTTATTTTGTTGTTGATGTTGATGATGATGTAGTCAATCTGGTATCTTATTATTATTATTTTTTTAACAGGCAGCTGGAGATTTTCAGGTGTAGAGTCTTCGAGGTGGTAATTGAAAAAAGGTGTTCATTATTGCACTATCCGGATCTTGCCAGAACTGAACAAGGCAGTCACCTCTATCGTTTCGCGTTCCTAGTCCCACAGTATTGCCAACACCACCTTTGCCTACTTTGACGTTGAAATCTCCTAGCAGGACATTCACTTCTTGTTTTTTGGTATGTTTTAGGGATTCTTTCAATTGTTCATAGAATATTTCTATTTCCTGCTCTGAGCTTTCCGAAGTTGGAGCATATGCTTGAGTAATGTTCACGTTAACTGGTTCAGCATTAATTTTGAGTAGTACAACTGGAAGATTTACACACCACCTTATAGTTGACAGTTGAAAAAAGCAGACGTCTACAAAAACTGACGTCTCTCTGACTGAGCATTTATGATACCTACCTTAAACGTTGACTTTACAAACAATATAATAACTTTAAATAATTATAAAAATTGTACCTGTGAGTCCTGGGATTCAGATTCGGTAACATTTTTTTCACTCTGTTGGGAATCAGTATCATCTTCCCAATCATCCAAAATACTTTTGTCTAATTGTGGTACACTTTTACTTTGTACAACTTTGTCAACAGGTTCTTCTACAGCAGGTGTAATTATTTTATCATTTACATTTTCAACAGTTTCACATTCTTCTCGATCTTCACATTCCTCTCGATCTTCACATTCCTCTCGATCTTTTTCTTGGCCTTCTTCTGGTAAATTTTGATTTTCTACAATATTAACAATCTATATACCTACTACTTTTGCTAATATTCTGGCAGATAGTTACCTGGTTCATTAACAACAGGTTGAGGTGGTTCTTCTATACTAGCCTCAGCTTGTTGTTCCTCTACTGGTTCCTCACATACAGCTTCTTTAACAGGTCCATCAACTTCCATCGGTTCATCAATTTTTTCAGTTTGATCTGGTGGTTGCTGCTCATCTGTAGTTTGCTCAGGTGATACTTGTAATTCGAATGGTTCTTAAAATCAAATTGTATTAATCAATATACACATTTTGTCGGATAGATCGGTTAATGAAAAAAAACATTAAAATTAAATTAAAACGTGCCTTATTTTGTCCTTAACTAAAAATAAGCTAATTCATGCATGTTCACCACTCCTACGAGAGCTCAAACTTGGTTGTAGCACTCCCTTTTATTAATGTATTAACCCAACGGTGGTCCGAATCCGGACCGCGAAAGGTTGAACTGCGGAATATCGATTGTTAAATCAATCAAGTTCAAAATAAAACTGCTGTTAAGTTTCAAAAAGGAAGTGAAATGATAAACACAATAACAATTATGTATAAGTGATGAAATATTGTTTTATAATAATATTGTATGTTTACAATAGCTGAAATATATAAATCTGGGGAATTCTGTTCAAAATCTGGCAACTTTTAAAACACAATTTGGGGAAATAAGATTTATGGTCCTGGCAACGCTGCTGTCCACTGACCGACAGTCGCTCACTATAAAACTATAGTTTGTCAGTGACATGCACGTAGCGCACTACCTTTAACTTGTTTTGTGATTACTCGCGTTGTCGCTGCCAAAAAATAGGAAGTTTTTGTCAAAATGGACTGAACAATATTGTTTTACTCGGGCTGATAGGCCGCAAGCGGTTCCGGTGTGCCTTCACACGGTGTGCAGTGTGTGGTTCTGATATGCAATGAAACTGTCTTAGTTAAAAGTGGAAATTTGAAGCGAAACTATTCATCAACAGTTCCACAAAAACTTTCCTCTTGGCAGTCAGGCGCGTAAAGAAAAACTTCGGGCATATCTTAATTCTTACAAAAAAAAAACACAAAAATCCTAGTTCGCAAGGGGGTTTTGGGGGTTAAAACCCCCTCTCCCAGGGCACTATTCCGACACTGTTACTCATGCATTTTAAGGACTCAAAATGGAGGTAGCATGATTAAATGGGTGCCCAACCAAAACCACCCAGAGGCAAATTCTAGGTGCGCTACTGGTGTGCTGGATACTTAATAAACACCAAAAACCATTTTCTGAATCTGAGATAGTGCGAAGGAATGTATGCTGGCAGTAGCTAACTCACTTTTTGAAGAAAAAAAGATGTTGCCTCAGCAATTCAAAGCATCTCATTGACAGCGCGAAGTAATACACGAAGAACGGATATTTTAGCTGCGGATATTAAAAACTCTCTTCTTAATCTTTTGCAAATAGCACCTTGCTAGGGCATATTACTTGACGAATTATGTGACATTGTTGATGATGAACAAATGTCTGTTTTTGTAAAATTTCTTAATATTGAATATCAGATTTTTAGGAAAGAGTTGCTAGCAATATTGCCGCTGAGAGGTAACACTCGAGGAGAAGATTTATTCAAGGTTATTGATGAATTAATTTCTAAATCTAACAACAGTTATAATAAAATGATTTCGCTTTCTACTGATGGGGCCCCAGCAATGATTGGCAATGAAAAAGGTGTTGTAAACGTCTTTCTCAAAAATGAATTTTTTGAAAAACAAATATCGCTCCCGATTAACGAACACCCACCTCGAAGATACACTTCGAATTTGTTGTTAGACTCGAGAACCACAAACAACTAGCTCAAGAACGTCGGTGCAATTTTTCGCATTAATTTAAGGGGACAGTCTCATGCGAAACTTTCAAAAAATCATTTTTATATTTTTTTTATAAATCGCTTCCATTTATATTCAAAAACTCCCTCCTAAAATTTTAAACAGAAATTCCCACTAGAATATAAGTTATAGTTATTTTATTAACGTTATCTACGCACGTATGAAAACCGGTTTCTCTCCGCGCGGCGAGCTCAAGGCTCCAGCTGTTCTTGCTTTTGTATATATGTTGTATATACGTTGGGTATGTATTAGTCATTCATTTTTATATAGTATGTATATCTGTATAACGTTTGGCAGTTACTATACACATTTGGAATTTTAAATCCGGAACATAGGATTTTTTACAAATACTAAGATTCTCTGCGTTGCAATTAACCAGTGTAAATTTCTTTATTGGCGACGTGCAAGTACTTGGAGGGGATACGAGAAACGATCGTGCGCGAGTAGTGGAGAAATCTTGCATTTTTTACTGTACATTTCATAGTCATATTTCATATTCGTTTTGTTTATTTACAGCTTCTGTCACTGAAGAATGTGGGATTTAGGAAATGCTGTTATAAATTGTAAAAATAGAACAAAAAATTGTCAATTTAAGTTTTATTCGTTTCCAACTTCGAAGCACAAAGCTACTACAAAGAGAAAAGTGGATTTATATCATAAAAAAGCATAAGTAACATAACCTAAATTATGCATTATTCTTGCGCCCGATTTTAAAGTCAGTTTGAAATAAATAATAAATAAAAGTTCACTTTTAAGTGTAAATTTTAGTTTCATAACACTCACTTAGAGTTCATTTTAACCCAAAAATCAAGTTTAATGTTTGAATTTTATTTTTTTGAAGTTTACAAAAATGCATCAAGTTCAAGTTTTTCTGAAGATGCATTAAGATATATTCGCTGTCCAAAAGTTTACAGGGAAAGAATTAATTGTTCAAACCAATATGATGATATCATGGGCTTAACCTGCTAATTTATGCATTAGCATTATTTATGGTAATTTATTTTTCTTAATTCTTCCACTCCACATAATTCTTCCATTCTTTTTTGACATTTGCCACTACTAAAGCTTTTCCCTTTGACTCGTGCTTGGTTGAAAAGTTATTTGGTGATTTACTTTCTCAAATCCAGTTTTTATTATTGCATCCATATTAACAGTAATGCTGTAATTCAATAATATATTTATTTGTACATACGCTACATCAACGTTTACCTTTTAATAACATACCGACATAACCTCAATCTTACTTTTTCTTCTTATTCTTTTTTGGGGCCACGTCCTTGACAGTTATCCGGTAACCTCGATCCAGGCCCGGATGCTCCTGTGAACGAGTTGTCGTCGGCCGAGCGCATGACGTCACGTTCAGAGGACGGGCAGGCGAGAAATAAAGAAACCAATATAAATAACGACCAGTTTTTCTTATTTTATTCAAATTACAAATGAAAAAAATCTGAACTCTACACAGAAGTACTTTATATGTACCTAAATACAACTTTTTGTCCAAGAAATTTCAAAATATTTGCCTACAAATTAAAATTAAAAAATTCAGAAGCAGAAGACCAAATAAATTTGTATAAATAATCTAAACAATTAATCACAAAATATGTTCGACCATTATTTTAAATATTAAGTTAGCTTTGAATAGATAGAACTACTAGAACTAAATATGTGTGATTTTCGATTAAAAGTTTGTATAACTGAAAGTTCTAGTCTTATACTTATTACTAAGACAAAATAAAAATGTGAAATATGCGCATAAATATGCATGTTTATTTAGAAAATATGCATGTAGCTAATAATAAAAGAATATAAATAACTCAGAAAGTATGTCCGTTTTGTTTACAAAAATATTAACAATATCTTTATATTTTATAATAATTAACATTTATTTATTTTACAAACTTATAGTGGTTTAGTGGGTAGTGGTTTATAATCAATGCTTATACTGAGGTAGGGAATCACAAATTTAAAGTAATTTAACAAATATATAATATTACTTTGCATTGTGCGAACAATAAACTATTAAATGCTGTCCAAATTTTTTTTAACAAAAACGTATAGCTTCTAAGTACATGTATTTGTAAATGGAAGAACTTCTTTATACATTATAACAAGGGCATTTTCAAAATGAACGATAATATTTTGTTTTAATTAGTAGGAATCTTGAAAATATCAAGATATGACTATGAAAGAAGGAAGATCCCCTAATCTTTACAATAGACTCTAGGTTTTTTCTGTTTATCTAAGAAAAAATATTATGAGCATAAATTAAAAGGACTTAATTAAGTCCAATATATATGTTTTTGTTTTAGTCAAACAAAGGCAAGCTATTGTACGAAAGAAAAATGTTAAGCAACTTTTCATTAAACTATAATGATTTGAATTTTCAAGAACTTTATTTTTCACACAAGAATTAAAATACTGCTTGAAAAAAAAAACATACTTCGATTTATTACGAACTAACCTTGTGTCGTCACGTACCTATTAAAAAATATTCTCATATAAAATAATTGAGTTGTAAACTTTAGTTCTCTAGTAATATGGGTTTTGATCCAAGTATCTAAGTTGAAGAACTGTTTATTTTCAGCAGTTTCAAATCACAATTCAAAATTCTAGAGACACCTACTGGTTTCAATTTTACAATAAAAGTGATTTCTAAAATTTTAACATCTCAATAAAAATTTTTACCTAGAGCTATAAACTGCCAGAGTTTGTAATTCTTATTCAAGAACAAAACTATAAATATCTATTATCTACAGATATTACAAAATTCAATATAGGGATTTCCCAGCTATTTGTTGATTTATTTCATGAATATCTGCTGTTACCACTATAATTTTGGGTTATATGCACTTTATGTAAACTTTTATAAAAATGTATAAAAAAATTTATGCGTAATATATAAAATATACGTTTCTACGTAGCAAAAAACATTACTAAAAGATCCTTAGGTCCAAACATCTAGTTAGGTCAAAATTTTTGTCCATTTTCTTTTGCTAGCTCTCTGGAGGGTAATTGATCTATTAAGTTCCTTTATACGAATAAACATTCTTGTTCTAAAAAACAAGCGTTTTGCCTTTTCGGGGCATTCAATATGTACACTTTTCAATAAAAGACTTTTTATAAAATTTTCGCCACATACTAAGCCATCCTTATGTTCAGCAAAAAATACTCTGTTAAGACTCTCAATATCATTCATGAAGGTAGGAGATGGTTTTGACAAACCGCCTTCGCTCAAATGATTAATCCATGTATATGATTCACTTGATGAACATTGCAATGATAAATCATTCTTAAATTTATGACAAATGAATCCTGCCAGATTTTCTAGTCCATCATACGCTAATTCATTTATCTCTTCAATTAAAACATTATCCTCTACAATAGGATCGACTGAGGAACTAAAAATGGTTGGTGTAGATTTGAATTTGCTGACAAACGACCCGCTAAGGGGAATATCAGGAGTGTCATCGATTTCAACGTTTGAAAACTCAGAATACGTTCCTTCATTTTTTCCCAAAAGATAGGACCTTAGTCTGTATTTAAATTCAGTGGCAGTAGGATGGTCGTGAAGGCCTCCTTTCGCTCTGATTACACCGAAAAAATTTTCCAGAACATCTTGATTCAATCGCCTGGTTAAAATAAATTCGGTGTTAAAACGACGCTTCAGGTCCTCAAGCAACATTTTTAGTGCACTATTAGAAATCAGGATGCCTGCAATAATTCATATAGTTAATATTAATGATTCTACTTACACTGCATTTTATTTACTAGGTACCTTTTTGAAATGGTAATTTTCCTCGACCGCCGACTACTTTCATTTCTGAAATCACTTCGGAAACTTTATCCAATATAGAATTTTGGTCTTTAAGGGCTAATCCGTAGGCTTTATTCCTTGCCCGTGAATCGCTCACTGGAGTGCTAACATTCAACACATCAAACCAATCATTTATCTGAAATGATGATCATGTTTGTAAACTATATGCGCATATAAAAAATATCTACATTTACTAAATAGTTCTATCGAGTACTCACACTTACCAATTTAAAAAACTCCGCGCACTCTACCCAATTCTCCTCTGATAAAAAGCCAAGTGTTCCACATCTTGATATGGCACATGACATTGTATGTGAAAACAGCTTAGCCGCAAATTTAACTTTTTGTCTTTTTGGTCCAGAGCAATTTAAATTTTCAGCTGTCATTTTATGTGTGATTTTTAAATCAGAGACGTTAGTACAATTTATAGTTTGTTCCACAATCTCTTTTTTAATGATTCTATTGCCGATTGAGAAGCCATGGTCCACAAAATTATTCCTTATTAGTTTTAGAAGATGTGGAACATCTGCGAATACAAAAATGTTTTCAGTGGTTACAGGATTTTCAAAATATGGCTTCGATTCTGATACTTGTAGTTCATTATGCAACCCTCTATTTGCACCACCCAAATCCGATACCATTGCAACAACATGAAAACCTAAAATATTTTAATTATTTATTATTATTATTTTATTTGGCCATTTAATAAGAATCAGATAAATACTTACCAGAATCCTCTACAAGCTTAATCAGTTCCATTAATATAGACGATGACATTTTACAGTCGAAATCAAAAAAGATAGGCTGTTTCCATGCTTTAAATAATCCGGAAATCATTGCTACCTGAACGTAACTGTATGGTGGTAAAACAGAATCTTTTACTTGGTCGTAAACATATTCCGCCCTTATTTTCATTTCGTCGAACATTATTGTACATATTCGATCACGTTCAGACATATCGGCAAATTCAGTTATTTTCAAGACATTTTTTAAAATGCCCCGATCTAACTGTATTTTCCTCAGCCATTGCTTTAGGGTGGATATAGCTGGATAAGGAAAACCCCTCTTCAAACTTAACCGGTATGCTCTAGGGCCAGCAGCATACATTGCAATAGCATTTGAAATTTCATTTACAGACCAATTTATTCTCTTTTGACAAGCCAGTTTTTTTATTTGATTCTTACTGAATACTTTTTTGACTGCAGCTAGTTCAAATTTCAATTTTTCAATTTCCTTGTTTTGTGTTTCCAGTTTGTTTCTTAATTCATCTAAATTTTCACCTGTTTCATCAGTTTGAATTCTAAATTTGAAGATCACCCAAAAAACAATACCAAATTAGACAAATATTTATAAAAATATGAATAACATTTACCTTTTATCAGAATTACAACTATCTACTAAGATATCAATGCTTGTGCTACTATTTCCAACAACATTACCACCACCAACAGTTTCATTTTCTTCTTCCACCCTAATGAATTTATTTTATAGTTAAATAGGTATACACCGTGCCCCATATTTAAATTGCCTATACTGAGATTTTCGTGCATTTTCTTGTATCGTTTATCCTAACGACGCTAGACATGAAAAAACAAAATGAGACATTTCTGATTTTCTCGAATACCTCTCTGACCATTTGAAATATCGAAGTTTTAAACTTTGAAATTAGCATTTTTTTTTATTTAACCAACTCTCTATATTCTACAGTTTACTTAAGTTTACAAGATTTCTGTATAGGTAATTTAAATTATGGGACACCCTGTAACATTTTTTTGTAACTTACGTTTCCCTTGAGGCTAATATTTCACTAACAAGTTGAGATTTTTGCCTCTTTTCAGCTAGACGTTTTCGATTCAGTTTAGATGTATCTGTTGGCACAAAACAAACTTGGGATTGGGGTAGATTCTGAGTAGGAACTGCGTCATCTTTCAACCCACGATAATTTTTAGGACAGTAATTTAAAAGTTTATGTTTTAAATTGGTTTTGTAATCAGTCTCCAGAAAATGTTTTGAACAAATGACAGACGTTTTAACGTTCACTTTGTCTTTTCTTTTTGTAGCATGTAACCACTGCTTGCACAAACTAGAGTCTTTCGGAAACCGGTAAAATTTAACTGTTTTGTCACACGGATTTTTCTTCGACTGATTGTCAGAATTGCACGTACACACAGCACACCTCATTTTAATAAAAAAAAGCCAAAAAGCTTAAATAAACACAAATTTTACAATTTTAAAAACGACAAAGTACGTCTAGAGCACACTTAACAGACGCTAACGTTTCATTTACGTTTAAACCGACTCTGAACGTGACGTATTCGCGCCAAATAGGACCCGCCCACAGATGCGCAACATATTATCTTTAGTTGAGTATATCGTGACCTCGATCTAACTTGAAAGCGCAGTAAATTTGGCTGATTTACGACACCAGGTGTCGCTGTTCCGAACTTGCACGGTCCCAATAACGTCCCGATGTTTTATAACTATTTTATTTGTTCCACTGGATTACTTCTCCTCAGAGGTTTATAGTAGCGTATATGGTACGCCGACAGTGTTGCTCCGTCTACCGATTTTTCCTGAAAGTCCGGTTTTGTGCAGATAATAAATAATGTTTTATTAACATCAATTTTGTTTGTGTTCATTAGGTATTATTTGAGTTATAAAATTTATATTTAAATACATTTATTATTCCAAATATTGTTTATAATTTTAAATTAAAAGAGTGTAATATAATTATTTTATTTTTAAAATTCCTTTTTATTTTTAATTTTAGAAATCAACTTTTTTCAAGCCGTTTTGGCAATAAAACATAACCATTTTTGTAGTTATAAAATATTTTCATATCTACATTTATAAATAAGTACGTTTTCGTTGAATTGACATACGATCTAGGTGTGTTCCGTTTTTACACTTACACTGGCAGCATCGCGGCGTGAATTGAGACTACAGCCAGTCGAACAAATGACTTGATTATAAAACATCGCGACGTTGTATTGAAATTTACAGCTTTACAAAGCCATTTACAACAACTGTTGGATGAAGAGGATCCTCAATATTCACCATGAATGGCCGATTAAACGTGAGTATAAAGTTATCAGCCTTTTATTCACGAAAATTATGTAAAAAAAACTTTAAATGCTTTTTTCTCAAAAGTAACATTTTCAAACTGGTCAGACACTTTTCTCCGAACCTTCTTAACCGATTTTAAAAAACCAAAAATTTTTCGAATGTACATATATACAAAATACTAGATGATAAACCTTTAAAATATTTAAAAACCACCCCCCTTTTATTATATATGGGTAAATCCACCGAAAAATATAGCGATTTCTCGACTTTTTTGAAAAAATTCGTATAAACTCTTCAAAATAATACAATTTGCATATTTTAAAGGTTTATCATCTAGTTTTGAGTCTCACGAATACAACCCATTTTGAATTTTTTGAATATCTATTTTTTATGTACTTCAAGACTTACTTAATCATCTCCAAAAGGAATTATGTTAATAAATATTATAGTTTTTTTTTCTGCTTTAATTTTAAAATGTGTCTTTTTTTTGAATCGCATGAGACTGTCCCCTTAAGGTCTTTTGTTTTATCATTACGGATGTACCAAAATAATAAACATCCTGTCATTAAATGATATCATTTGTTTTTTTTCTGGACCTTGTTCAAATTTTCTTCTAGTATCCGGACCCCACATAAAATTACCTACCGACCCCTGGATTAACCAATCACACCTTCAGGCTTAAAAATAATAAAAAAAAAGACACTAATATTGCCTGAAGCATTGGCATCTCTCAGTGGAAAGATTCCGAGTGATCATAAGAAGATTGTTGATATACAAAAACTACAAAGTTATATACCGGATGAAGAAAATATTCAGGATTATTATAATAAATTGTTCAACTGGTCCATAACAATGATCACACTTTTCGTTTATTTTTTGAGTTGTAATCTTGTTTGTTCTTTTTTATATAAATTACAGTACTGAGTTTTTTTTTTTAATTTTAATTCCTTATAAAGTTAATTTAAGGTGACGCTGAACAATTTATTTGAGAAACCCCTTAATTCAATCACGTTTAAGCTTATATAGAGGTTATTCTCAATTTTTTCTTAATGTTGGAGTGAATAAGTCAAGAAACAGTGTATAAATGGAATTAGGTCATTTTTAACATGTAGAAATCTTCGTGTTTTCCTCACACAGTTTTTTTTTTTGTTTCCGAAAGTTTTAGTTTTGTGACTTACGGGTTTTCTCAAGTGGTTCAATTGTTCTTGACAAAACCTTTGTTAAAATCATCAAATCTTTTCCAAAGAAATATTTTTATATGTTTTACTTATAAAATAAACACTTCGTGTTATACCTGTCTGAATAGTACTGTTGATTTCAGTTTCTAATTCGGACGGAATCTTTTCTGGCGGAATATCAGTGCCTTCTTCAGTTTGAAGTGTGAGTTCTGTAGTATTTTCAACTGTTTGATTTTCAAGTCCCGCATTATAGTCGGCTGAAAGTTGAATATCAGACTTTACTTGAGATGTCGGCTCTTCTTCAGAGTGTTCCTAAAAAATAAAATACAAATTGGTTAAATTAATGCCTACAATGACATCAAACTGCCATATGTGTTTATATTATGCAACTACATATACACTGTGTAGCATCATACGACTTTCAATTTATTTGCTATAATTTTCCAAAATTTATATGAAGGAAAATTATATTCAAAATATATTTTTATATGTAAATAAAAATATTTCCAAAATTTATATGGAGGATTTATATAAAAGGAAAACAGCATGTACCGTTCCCGTTATAAAAAACTGATACAACTCTTATAATCAAAAATCGTGTTTTTTAAGTTGTGTACGTTGATCTTGTCACATGTGTCATTCTGATTTCTAGGGCACAATTGCCAGTTCAACAAAAATATTATATAAAACCAGCTAAAAGCAAGGCTGTGTGACAGACCGCCAGTTTTGAGTATAATAAAAACTAAAACATTATTGAGCATTCTCGATCAGTCAGTCACATTAAATTTGTTTAAATTTGTTTATATATTAATATTAATAAATTCTCATATAAATTTTGTAATTTTCCATCATCTCAATTAACTACCCATACATTGATTTGTGTTTTATAACAAATTTATGAAAATATTTCAATTCAAAGATAATGACAGATAGACAAACTTCAAATTATTATAATAAAATATTACAATGAGATAATGGATTGTAACTGTTACGTTTTCTAAAGCGTTTTTTCGCACCGAATATTTTCTAGTATATAATACGTAGGATAAAGTATAATGTTAGTTTTTCACACTTTTTTTCGTTCTTTTAATAAATAATAAATTAATCTTGGTAGTTTGCCTGCTACAAAACTTATTGACACAGAATACAGTTCGAGTTGGGTAGGTAATTGAAGTATAAAATTACAGTAGATCCATTCCAATGTTCCCTGTGTTAATACCCCAGTTTAAAGATCTTTCCACAGTGATAGTAAGCAGATAACAGTACATTACGAATAAATAATTGTAAAACGAATTTAAATTATTTTCAGTAAATATAACATTAACTGAACTAACCTGAACAAAACTTTCGTCTTGTACTTCTCCTTCAGTAGTTTTATTTTCAATATCATCAATATCCATTGGTTCTTCAGTTCCAACATTCATAGTACTATCGACGTTATCTTCGCTATTGTCTTTCTCATCATGAAAATCATTTGGAACTTCCTCTGTTTGGTTATTTGGAAGATCTTCAACTGATTGTTCTACGTGCTGTTCCTCAGGTTGTACTAGAACAAAAATAATTCCAATAAATCATCCAAAAGAAAGTTATATCTTTCCCGCCAGGGGCGATCACATTCAAAGGGATAAAAAATATTCTTTTCGTCTATTAGTATTTCACTGGAAGTAGAACATTTAAAGAAATTATATCTATAATAACTCACTTGTGGTAAGTGACTCTTCCGTTTGGTGTACTTCTATTTGAGATTCCTCGGATTCGGCTTGAATGTCAGGCATATTTTGTAGCTTGGTAACTACTGTCTCAGTAACTTGGTGTATTTCCGGTTTTCTATCTTCCTCAAAATATGGCTCCTGTTTAAGTCCTTCGTGATTCTCAATCTCCCTTAAAAATAAAAAAAAATCGATGTACTCATGCACATATACTGAAGAAAATATGTGAAAACTTAAAAAAATATCTTGGAATGAAGTAAAATTACTAAAATAATGAAAAAACGTTTTTGGTCCTTTTGGAACACCATCAGTAAAACCAGAAAGTAAGTAATCCTACTTTAATTTAATGAACAAAGGTATAAAAACACGTGGTATTATTTACTTGATTGAGCATTTGCAAATACCCACCTTCAAAACATATGAAAACCTTTGTTTTACATGTTAAATGTTATAAAAATTAAAACGGTATAATGACGATAAAAACGATTTAACCGAAAGGAAACAGACTGACACCTTACTCGAACGGTAGAACAGATCTGATGTCTAACAAAAGTTACCAGCCAACTGAGTTGGTGAGTGAGGACGTAATATTAACTCTAAAAATGATAAGGTAGTCAAGACATGATTGGTAGTTTGAGATGAGATAGATAGAAAAATATAATTTAAATGGTTTTAAATATAACCAATTTACACTGTCAGGAACGTAGTATATCAGACACCTTACGTATCTGTTCAGTATATTCGAAAACAATATTTTGCGGATGCCGACAGCTATGTAACGAGTCGTATTATACAGAAAATCAAAAGTAAGACAATAAAACAGAAAAGAGTAAAAAGTTCGCACTTACCACACGCTATTTACACTAAATTTAGTTTGACTTTTAAAATTGAAATGAAACAAAGAGAATAATATCCTGATAATGTGGATTATCTACTCAAAATGTAAATGATTTAAAATCCACAGATAAACAATATCAAGATTAGCATTTATTTGTCATATTTATTTGCCATATTTATTTTTTTAATTTCAATTAATAATAATAATGTATAGATTAAAATATTGTAATATATATATATATATATATATATATATATATATATATATATATATATATATATATATATACAGTGTAGGTAAAATTTTAAGGTCGGTATGGTAAAATTTAACAGGATATCTAACGCAGATATAAAATCATATTTTCAACGAATTAGACAAAGATAACAATCATATTTCCCCTTCGTCTCCCCTCCTAAAATCCTTTTAACACTCATTGGCCATTGCCCATTAGTGAGACGATTAGTTCCGATCAGATATTCTCTGGTTCCGATCCTAATATACCTAAAAAACTAGAGGTGGGTCTTCTCGTTTTTTAAATTTTTATCGGAACCGTTTTTCGTAAACTGTAACTAGTTGATTGTTTACCAGTATTCAAATTAGCGAGTACACAAACATATTAGCTATTATCGTTTATGTGTATAAGTATTGAAATAAAAGAACCTAACGAAGGATATATTTATTGTAACTTGAAAAATAAATTAAATAATACAAATGGTACTTAAATAGTTACATTTACATTACACATTATTAAATCGCGAATCGTCTAAATTGACATTTAAAAACATAAGTTTTCCCACTTTTCTTGTTAATCGCGTTCTTCTTTTATTTAAAATTATACCAGATGTTAACATGTGTTCACAAGGAAAAGATTTTGTTACAATACTACAACATTTTATGAATATAGTGGTTAAGTTACGATATACATGGCGATGGTTTTTTCACCACGGTAATGGACAGTTCCAATCTCCGTTCGAAATTGTTTGTGGGTAATATATCATCAGACAATTACATGTCGACTTCTTTTATACCTCTCGATACAGGTGTATGTTTAGATGAGTCATGTCCAATTAATTCATCAAAAATACACCATGGACTTAAGTCATCTTTATCAGTTTCTTTTTCTTGGACTGATTGATTTTCAAGATTTACTAAACTTTTCGTTTTATCCGTTTTCCATAGTTAAAGAACCAGCTTTTAAAAAGTTTGCAGGGTGGATTCCTGGATATAAACCGCCAACAAGAAAAACTTTGTCAGGTTCATTACTTCAGGAATGTTATGTCAAAAGTGAGCAAATTATTAGATCGCAAGTTGTTAAAGAAGTAGAAAATATCTGTATTACTACTGACCTCTGGACATCTGGAGTAACTGAGAGTTACTTCGCATTAGCAGGACAATATTTAACCGAAAATTTAGTATTCAAAACTTTTTTATTAGGTTGCTGCCATTTTTCTGGAAACCATAATCCAGAAAACAGCGATTACTGAAATTATTAATCAGTCGGGTCTAAAACGAAAAGTAAATTTTGCAGTAACTGATAATTCCTAAAATATGGTCAAAGCTATTAAATATGTTTTGTTTTATGATGATTGTGATTTATGATGATGATTAAATTTACCATACCACATATGGTGCCGAATGTTGGACGATGACAAAGAATGAACGAGATAAAGTAGACGTTGTGGAAATGGATTATCTTAGAAGGTCATGTCGAGTATCGAGAATGGAAAGAATCAGGAATGAGGAAATACGAAACCGTACAGGAATTAGAGATACTCTTTCAGATAGAATACAAGGAAGGCAATTACAATGGTATGGTCACGTGATGAGAATGGAGGAGGAGCGGTGGCCAAAGAAAGCCTTAATGTATGTTCCGCCAGAAAGAAGGAAAAGGGGAAGACCACCAAATTCCTGGAGAAGAGAAATTACAAAAACAATGCAATCTAGAGGCTTAGAAGAGGGAGATTGGGGAGATAGGAAAAGATGGAGGCTGAAATGCGGGAAGCGGCAATCGCCGTAGGACCCCCGTTATATGATGATGATGATTGTTTAGTTTATTTTTCAAGTTATAATAAATATATCATTAGGTAGTTTCTTTCACTTCAAAAGATATACACATAAACGATAATAGCCGTTATGTTTGTTTATGTAGGTACTATCTTACTTGAAACTACTTTTAAACAATCATAGTTACTTGTTTATGAAAATTAAAATTTTTAAATGCTTTTTAGCATTCAAAAAAATTTAAATTTTTTTGGAATCCTGAGAAAACTAACAAATATTTTTGAAAAATTTAAATGCAGAATGAAAGATTACATTATTACCGAGGGCCGAAGGTCCCTTAGAATAAACAAAAAGTTTTTTTAATGAGATATTTGAAATTAAAAATCACACTAAATTTTGTTTTTTTTTCATCCCTATAACTTATTAAAATAAACATTATAGAAGTTTTCAGGGACTTTCAGCTCTCGGTAATAATGTATTGTTTCATTCTGCGTTTAATTTTTTCAAAAATATTTATTAGTTTTCTCAGGATTCGAAAAAAATGAATGCATTTAAAAAACATTGGCCCGAAATTTTGCTCCTACGCTCTTAACGATAAACTAGCACGACCCACCTCTACTTCTCGTTACTCGATCTTTTGACCAGACGACTATCTAGACTAGACGTTGCCAAATAAATTAGTGTATGAATATTTTTTAATTTGGCGTTATTGTATGCATGTTTAATTGTTTATTATTTCATATTGGGAAATTATTTTGATGTTTAGATTTTTAGTTCGGAAATCGTACTTAAAATACGAAACATTAATAAATTTTATTTATATAAAACGATTTCCGAAATGGAAATCAAAATGTTATATTACAATTATTGTAAAGAAAACTTGTGGCATATTCCCAATAAAAAAAACAGTAACCTGCCAATTAAATCAATTTCGCCCAAATTTGATTATCTTGAGCATTTTATCTTCTTGATAGAACATTGTTCAAATGCAAAAAAAGACAACAGGTCAAATAAAACCAATAAGTTTGGCAACGTTGAATTTCCCTTTTTTAATATTTCCATTCGGCGATATAAAGGGCGTACCTAATATACCTCTCTCTTTTTAAACAGCTGTTTCTCACTCCATCTCACGTAAGGTCCATACCGACCATAAAATTTTTCCTACACTGTATATATATATATATATATATATATATATATATATATATATATATATATATATATATATATATATATATATATATATATAATATATATATATATATATATATATATATATATATATATATATATATATATAATAATACTGGATAATAATATAATAATACTGGATATTAGTGACTGTCGATTTAAACAAACAATAAAGTTTATTAGGGCTGCAGTCAGAAGTTTGGCCGGGATGTTACAGAAACACTCTTTTGACTTTTGGTCTAGCTTTCGGAATTGTTTAATTCCTTTTTCAAGACACTGTAATTAGAAAAATGTGTATTAATGTCACGTCATTCAGCATGGTGAATACGCTACAATATAGCCGTATAATAACTGATTTCATGACCTGCTTCAATTACGATTTCTTATAACTCTATATTAGATATTGCCAAAAGTTTTTAATTAATATTAAAAATGTACAGTATAAATGTATGTTTAAGGCTAGCAAGGTAATCTGAACATAACAATTAGACTTGAATACTCGTGGAGTATTTAATTGGGACAGTATTTAATTGGGAATGAATACAGCATAAACTGTTCCGTTTTAGTTTTAATTCCAATATGAAATTAAACATTTCCAGGAAGTACTTTTGGTAGATACTTAGATTATACATTACTAATCAAAGTAAAGCATATTTACAGATTAGTACAAACAAAATAAACATTTACATAATTGAGCAGGAAGACTATTTTATTCAAATTACAAATTTTATTATTACGAAGAAACATAAAAAATAAAATATTAAAATCATATCCTCAAATAAACTGTATAGAAGTTCTGATCGATTTTTAACCTCCAGTTGTCTTTGTCACATGCTCAGAAAGACGGACACAAACAACGTGGCCTCATAATTATTATTTTGAGAAGTATAAAATTAGTTTTTATTTGGAACCTCGCTTTCCTATAGAACTCTAGGAATTTAAAATAACCAAGTGTAGAATGTCAGTGATATTTTTTGTGTGTACATTAAAAAGTATTTACCTTTGTATCAATTCGATAGATTCAATAGGTGTTTCCACTGAATTGGTTACAATCATCTGGCTAGCCGTCGTAGTAGCAATAGAACTATTTCTTAACTCCAACATACCAGTTTGAGAATTCACCATCAAATTTCCCTAAAATGTACAAAACATAAATATATTAACAAACTCATTTGTAATAGACAATTCCGTGAGAACGGGGAATCCCAACCAAATCGAATCGAAGTTTTATGCAATTTTTTTATATGTGCTTTTCTGTGGAAAGTATCCACCGCTTGTTTTTTTGTATGTGCTTCTGCGATTAGTATAATCAATGCTTGTGCTACAAGCCATTAAAATCTAAAACTGTCCCGATAAAAGACGTGACGACATCCGGCTATCTTCAATATGGAAATCCCTTCTCAAGCAGCATATATCACTATCCATTTCGTCCAACAATCCACTTATCGCCGTTAATAATCGTCTAACCAATCCAAACCTAAATACCACGTTATTATCGGCAGCATAAACGTAGCAACTTAACCTGATAATAGCAGTAGTGCAGTGAATAGTGAACTGCCTAACGGTGAAATGATCTGGGGAAGCAGAAAACAGGCCAGGGAAATCCTGATGAAGACTACAGAAATGTAGTCGAAAGCTCGGCGCGGCAAAATTCGACACGGTCCATCCCGGAAACGAAGTAATTGTAGTTGCTCTCTAATAATAATAATGATAGTTATATATTTGTTATTAGATACACCTTTGCAACATACCTGAGACGTAATGTATTGTCCTTCTTGGCCTTCTACTGGATGACTGTACAAGACTACTATATTCGAATTTTCAGAACTTTCTCCTTCGTGTCCATCGGGATAATCATGGTCAGCCAACACCATGACCAGCTCATCGGTTGACGAGATTTGTCCTGTACTGCTCTGAATCATACCTAAAAGGTAAAAGTAGTGATTACCATTCACAAAGAAAGCCATTGATATCCAAAAGTCTTTACAAAATCTCTAAAATACTCTCTCACCAATATATATTTGCCCTTCAAAGTAATCCCCCGATATAATATCTAAGGTGGTAAGTAATAACAGTAAGTTAAATAATTGTGTGTGTGTGTACCAAAAAGTATACTGAAACTGTTTATTCTTCATAATATAATCAGAGGTTGGACTTATATTCGTAAGAACAATGTGAGTTTTATGTTCAATGTATGAGGAACAAAAATTATGGCATGAACTCACTGGTACTTTGGAGGAAGGTATGAAGAAGCCAAATGACAGATCAGATGGTGAAAAAACCCCAGAACCAACAAAAACTGACTTAGACTTATACTACTTATCACCTTAGATATACTCAAATGCTTTTTTAAGTTCTCGAAGCACGTCCGTTGTGCATTTTTTGGTATAATCTTGAGCTCTTTTAGTGATGCGCTTTTTGGTCCGTTTTGGGAATAGGAAAATCACACAGGTCCCAAGTCTGATCCCAAAGCTAAAAAAGCAGGCTTGGATGACAGATGACATACTGGATTTGATGGAACAACAGCGACTAGCGAAAAACAACGAAACACTTTACAATAGCATACAAAAAGAAATTCGACGTAAAATACGAGAAGCAAAGAGTCAATATCTAGCCAAACAGTGTCATGACATTGAAGAACTTGAAAAAAGATACGACACGTTAGTAATATTTGAAGTAATAGGAGAAATTCACCTCCCGATATTACTAACTGTGACGGACCCCTAATAACACGCTTTGAGGTTATAAAGGCCATACAATCATCAAAAGATGGCAGAGCGACTTGTCCTGATAAAATTCCAACTGAAATATATAAGCTTATAAATAATAGCAATGTTTTGTGGAAATTGAAACGTCAATAAACGTATTTTTATCTTTAATTGTGGCTTATTCCCAGTTTAATAGTAATTAATTTACAATGCCACAAGAAAATAGCTTCAGAACAATGTTTTAGAGCCTATAACTTCGTTTTTCAATACCATTTATACCAGCGGACTACTACCTAATGGTTGGACTAATTCACTGTTTATAGCTCTACCTAAGAAGACAACAGTAAAAACCTGTGCTGATTATAGAACCATCAGTTTGTTAAAACACTTATTGAAAATTTTTCTGAAGATAATACATGGTCGTATCTACAATAAATACGAGGAATACCTGAATGACACTCAGTTTGGTTTTCGTAATGGGTTTGGAACGAAAGAGGCACTGTTTGGAATGAACGGACTTGCTCAAAGATGTCGTAATATATCTGTAGACATATACTGTTGTTTTATTGACTTCCAAAAGGCATTTGATCGTGTTAAGCACTCTATATTGATCGAAGCTCTAAATGACATTGGCTTGGACGGCAGAGATGTTCGAATAATTGCAAATTTGTATTGGAATCAGACAACATCAGTTTTAGTAGATGGTGTGGAATAACAGGCTCTCAATATTAAAAGAGGAGTACAGCAGGGATGCCTCTTGTTGCCCCTGCTTTTTAACGTTTACTCTGAAAGAATTTTCAGAAAATCACTTTCTGAAAAACAAGAAGGAATACTTGTGAACGACGAAGTCATCAATAATTTGCGATATGCGGACGATACAGTACTCCTAGCTCCTAGTCATCTGCAAACACTACTTGATAGTGTCGTTGAGAGTTGCCAGGCAAGTCTGGATCTTAACATAAGGGAAACCTAAATACTCGTAATAAGTAAACTACAGCATATAAAACTGTCTATATAATAAATTAAAATTAAATAATGCCAAACTTGAGCAAGTTGATAAAATCGTTTACCTTGGACAGCAATTAAATTGTAACTCAGAAAGTCACGGCGAAATTAGATCCAGGATAGAGAAGGGTAAAGCTGCTTTTAGAAGGATGTACAAGGTGTTATATAACAGAGACCTAAAATTGGTACTAAGGATCCGCCTACTTCGTTGCTATGTATTCTCGGTCTTATTTTATGCTGTCGAGTCCTGGACTGTGAATAAAATCGATCTAAATCGCCTTGAGGCTTTCGAAATGTGGTGCTATAGAAGAATTTTAAAAGTTTCCTGGGTGGAGAAGATTCGAAACTCCACAATACTAGAACGTCTCAGCAAGACTACTGAGATCATAATAAGTATCAAGCAGAGAAAGCTGGAGTATTTCGGACATGTAACGAGAGGTCCCAAATATAGGTTGCTACAAAATATCATGCAAGGAAATATCAGGCAAGAACCTCATGGTTTAAGACCTTGCGAGATTGGTATGGTGTTGATACAAGCATGCTATTTAGGGTGGCAGTGTATAAAATTAAGATAGGTATGATGGTAACCAACGTTCTGAAAGGACATGGTACATGAAGAAGAAGAAATATTCAAAAATATTTTAACTGTGTTTAAATATAAAATCAACTAATTATTCTTAGCTGGAATTTACTTTATATCAACATAAAGACTTACCTTGTTGTATTACCGAACTATTCTGAGTTGTAATAACTTGTCCTGAGAACGACTGCTCGTGTGCTAAGTTAGGAATAAGAAACTCAGTTTGCTCACTCTGTCCATCTTGCAAAATATATTGCTCGTTTTCATCTAAAACAACTATATCAACTAAACCTAAACTTGTGGCAATGCCCGATGCAACATTATTTAACGCTTCGGCTTCCGAACTGGCTTCTAGCGGTATTAGTTGTGTCCCTTGCCTGTTCTCTTGAATTGAATGAGTGGGGGAAACTTTTACATTAGATATTATGTTAACCTAAAAAAAAACAATTATTTTAAATGACTACTAACATTAAACGTATCATCAAAATAGCAAGAGATAAGTCACCAATCGGCATAAGAAGTATGAAGTGAAAAGAAGAAGAATTTTAAAAAATGGAGGGATTTTTAAATAAAGAAGTTTCATTTCTTGTTATCCTGGATAGTTTTGTTTAGGGTTTTTATTATTCATATTGTTATTATTAAATGGGGTTACACAGGTTGTCACGATTTTAAGAAATTATGGCAGTACGGCACCGTCGAATTCACAAGGTTCCTAGAGGGCGCACATATAGTGAGAGTGACGAAGGAGAAGCGATATTGCCAATGTAAACGAACATTTATTTTATGTGTTTATTTTAATTCTGTGATTAAATATCAACAAATCAACCAGATTCATACAGTCCACTCTATTGAAGCAAAAACAAATGGTCCTTCGAGCCGGATCTGAACCGGAGGTAATATTTTATTTTAGTACCCCCTTGATTTTTTTACATTAATCCTAAGTATCTCTTCTCCTTAATATACGTCACAACTTGGCGAAGGCTATTCTATATCCTCCTGAGACCTGATGTGCAATTAAATGGACATTTACGAATTATATATTTTTTTCGCAAGAACTAAATTTACACCGCCTAGTCCCACAGTCCACCGTAGTGTACATATTAGTGAACCTGACAACAGCGCGCTGTATTGATGACACCACATTTTAATTTAGTTAACCTCTTAATCGCAAGTGATAAACATGGCGAGCAGTTCTAGAAAAACCATTGATGGTAAGTAGCTAATTTTATTAGATTATTAACCTAAATGTTGCTTAGTCTAATAACATACGATATTATAAATATATTAATGTGATTTAATTGTCTTAGCAAACCATTTTGAGTTTGTTTTTATCTAAAATAGGGAAGTCCATTTCTATGGACGTCAGGTCTTTAGACATACATTAAATATTATGTATTATTGTGCATGAAACGTCAATAAATTAATTTAAAACTACAATTGTAGTTTTAATTCCCAAATAAAATAGTAAATTATATAAAATATTATATTAGACTTTTTTGTTTCAGTTGTCTTTGGTAACAAAAAATTTTTAAGACCCGAAGTAGACCATGAAAGACTTCTTGAATGTCTGGAAAGTTCGGATATAGACGTTTTAGATTCTGAAAACTATGATGACGGCCTTGATCCAAATGAAAAATTGTCTCAGCAATCAGATTTGGCTCAATTTGGCTCAGATGATGAACAAGACACAGAAATACCATCCGAAGATGAATTAGATAACGTGCCACTCAACGAACGAAAGAAAAAGCTTGAGAACCGAAATACATGGAATAAAGTGGGTGTTTTTGTCCCTCAGCATGTAGATTTTATTGGAATTGTCGATACAGTCCACGAGAGGCAAAATTGGAAAGTTGAAAACTACGTCGGTATGTATTTTGATGATTCAGATTTTGAGAATATTTGTAATTGTACGAATATTAAATTGTTGCAAGAAAAAGGAAAAGCTTTGAACGTTACTCTAACTGAGGTGAAAAAATTTTTTGGAATATCTATCCTAATGTCCTGTCTAAAGTATCCATAAATTAGAATGTTTTGGGCCAAGACAATAAGAGTCAACAGTATTGCACAAGCCATGACACGTGATAGATATTTTCAAATCAGAAGCAATTTAAAAGTAGTTATTGACGCTGATGTGCCTCAAGATCAAAGAAATGCTGACAAATTATTTAAGATCCGGCCTTTGATTGAAAGAATACGAAGAGGTTGCTTAACACTTCCAAGATACAGTGAGGTTGCTGTGGACGAACAAATGATACCTTTTACGGGAGTGTGTAACATGAAACAATTTGTTCGAGGTAAACCTAATCCAGAAGGATTAAAAAATTTTGTCTGCGCCACTCCCAAAGGATTAATATTAGACTTCGATATTTATCAAGGGAAAAATACATTTCTGCAGAATGATGATGATGTTAAGAAGTTAGGTGTTGGTCCATCTGCAGTAATTAAGTTATCTACAACATTATCAGAAGGAACACATGTTTTCATTGATAGATATTTCACCACCTTACCTTACTTGAGTACATGTTAAACAAAAATATTTTTTTAACTGGTACAATAATGAGATCCAGAATACCCAAAGCAGTTCATGTAACATCAGATAAGGTGATGAGTCGATTAGGTCGTGGTTCTTCTGAGCAAGATGTAAGATCTGATGAAAAAATTAACATAGTCCAATGGTATGACATGAAATCAGTTATGCTAGCGTCAACTGCGTTGCAAATAGAACCTTCAGATGAATGTAAGCGATGGTCAAAAAAGGACTCCCGATATGTTGAGGTACCTAGACCAAACATTGTTAAAAAGTACAACGAATCCATGGGGGGAATAGATTTAATTGACAGGATGATCAGTTATTATCGAATGGGAGCTAGAAGTAAGAAATGGACAGTAAAAACCATTTTTCACTTATTTGATCTTGCGATTGCCAATTCTTGGATTCTGTACAGAGATGACCATAAGCAACTGGGTGATGCTAATAAAACCGTTATGCAGTTCCTGGAGTTTAAAATAGCTGTTTCTGAGTTGCTCCTTAAAGATAACATTTCTGAAAATTCTGATTTTGAGAACATTTCAACACTGGTAACTAGAAACAGTTACAAAGCTAGAACATCACTTCAAACGCCTACTAAGAGAAAGATACAACACATTCCTGCAATGGCATCCGAGTTAAAAAATTCTGTTAGATGTAAGCTGCCAGGTTGTAAGGGTAAAACAAAAGTTTATTGTGAATCATGTGACATATTTTTATGTTTAACGGGAAATAATAATTGCTTTAAACAATTTCATTTACAATAAGTTTGTATTGATGCGATCCTGATGTCCTTTTAAATGGACATGTTTTTTTTCACATTCGGCAAAAAAATAAAAATTCAGAAAAATTTACATGTGTTTTTATACTAAACATCAAACAAATTCTATTATTTAATAAAAAAAAAAACAAAAAAGATCAGGTCAGGTCTCAGGAGGATATACATTCCCGGCGCCAAATTTTTTTCAGTAAGGATTCTTCACATCTTGTATGTTACTTTTATTTTCTTAAGTTGTTGTCTTGTTTAATATTATACTGTCTTTTACAGGCATGCAAATTGGTCGAAATTTTATCCTTGTATTTAGCCTCTGTTTCTTTTAGCCGAGTATTTTTCAATTTTCTGTATTTTTATTTACCGTCTAGTTTTTGTCTTTTTACAACTTTCCTAAGATTTGCTACATTGGTCACAACGTGGGACATATTTTGTTACACGACATCATCAACTGAATACATTGACTAGTACTAAAAGAATTACACTAATCCCTCCATTTAGTAAATTATGGAGAAACCAGTAAATGGAGAAAATAAAAGTATAAACATAAATACAAACCTTATCCTTTTGTATGGCATTTGAGTCTATTACTTCGGAAGAAATATACCCAACAGATTCTTCTTCACCTTCAAGATCTTCTAAATTATCAATATCTTCAAAACATACAATGCCATCACGCACAGCTTCGGTACCGTGTGACCTTTTAATATGACTCAGAAGGGTCATGCCAGATTGAAGTTTCTTCATACAAAAGTGGCAATCGAAAGTAACTCTTCCCGGTTTGCCGTAATGGCCCGTTATTCTAACATGAGCAGTTAAAAACTGGTGATTCAAAAAAGCTAAGTGACAACCTTGACATTGGGTTTCATTGGGGCCATGTGATTCTTTATGTTTAGTTAATTTTCCAGCAGATATCGCTAAAAGAGAAAAATTATTACAGTATTAATAGTACGAATATTTTTGGTGTTTTCTAAATACAATAAAAACAATAAACTTTATTATTATTATTGTGATTATTGCACACACATTTTTAAATCATAAAGATACATAATAGTGGAGAGTCGGCTAATGGTGCACATAGGGTAATTGTGCGCAAAGGGTAATTGTGCGCATCAATGTTTCTAATCTCCTATTTAATAAAATGGCAAAAATTATATTGTCGCGACCTCTATTGGCAACTACCAGATCTGTCCCACACAAACGAACATCGGGAGATACCTTATCGGTTGCAGTTAATCGTTTAAATGTTTTCGCGTGGTATATTATTCTTTGTGTGTCTGAGAAAATAAGTGGTATGTTTTTTCTTGAAATATAGTTTTAAAAGTACATATACACGTGACTTATTTACCATTTAAGACACTGGTATAGATAGTTTTGTCCAATCCTTTTTTGTTTTTATCCAATTTTGTGTTATGTGGTAAAGTGGAATGTCGTCTAATGGTGCGCATTGCATGACAAAGAATAATATACCATTTCGGGATTAGAAGAAAATCCGGCAATATTACGCGCAAGTTTACTACACAAATAATCCTTATGAATCAACGAGTATATAAGGAGTTTTTCTTGAAAACGTTCAATATTACCAGTAGGAGATTTAAAGTGTGTACCAAAAAACCAAATGTGAGCAAGATAAGCGAGGCAAGAGTCCTAGTAAACGAAAAATGAGTGAAGAAAAACGTAGATTGGTATTTGAACATATAAAACAATTTCCTAAATACAGTAGCCACTATTCACGCTAAGAAATTACAAATGATAAATATTTAGCACCCGATCTGACCTTGACAAAACTGTATGATCTCTACAAGGCTGCTTGTAATGCACAACATTTTAATGCTATAAAACTATCATATTACCGACTTGTTTTTCATACAGACTTCAATTTGAGATTCCATTGGCCACACATATACATGTTCACGATGTGATTCCTATCAAAACATTATTAAACATAACCAAGAGGAATCTAAAATTTCGGAAACAAAAATATTGTTAGAATTGAACCAGCGAAAAGCATAAAAGGCATTGGCATGCAAGAATGCAGATATTGAGCGTTATAAAGAGTCAGAAGATACAGTAGTTGTATGCTTCGATCTGCAACAAACCCTACTACCTGTATTCTATCTACGACAGCTATGGACATATAACTTTTGTGTTTATTATTTACTCAGTTGTTTTACCTCATATGTTTGTATGGAATAAAAGTATTTCAGGAAGAGGTTCTCAAGAAATTGGATCTTGTTTATTCAAAGTAGTAACGCAATATTGTGCTACTTTGATCTATCACAATGCTATCGCGAAACATAAAAAGAGTTATTACTTATAGTGATTCTTTTGGTTGGCAAAACAAGAATAAAAATATCTGTAAATTATTCATGTTTTTGGTAAAAGCAACTCAAATATACCATTTTTCAAAGTAAAACACTTGCACGTCACGATTTATACAAAGTGACGTCACTTGTATTTAAAATTTCCAGAACATCAACCTTAGAGTTCAAATTTTCCTAACACAGCTAATAATACGAAACCCATACGGAACTGCTCGATCTTTCATAGGCGTCAACATGGTGTAATAATCAGAAAAATGTTATCATCATATATATATATATATATATATATATATATATATATATATATATATATATATATATATATATATATATATATATATATAATATATATATATATATATATATATATATATATATATATATATATATATATATATATAAGCGAGGTTCCTACAGCCTCTGCCGTTTCTCGCATTTCGACCGCCATCGTTTTCTGTCCATCCATTCGTCTTCTCTGATGGCTCTATCTCTCATTATGTGCCGTACATTATCTTCCCAGGCAACTGAAGGCCTTCCCCTTCTTCTTCTTTGTTGTGGTATGTAATTTAAAGCTTTCTTTGGCCACCTATCTTCATTCATTCGTTTCACGTGACCATACCACACTAGTTGCCTCGTTTCAATTTTATCTACACTGGAATATACAGTATTTGTCCTCCTTCTAATATCTTCATTCCTGATGTGATCTTTTTTGGATATACCACACGCTCTCCTTAGAAAATCCATTTCTACTACTTCTATTCTTTTTCTATCCTTCTGCGTTATCTGCCAAACCTCTGCCCCATAAGTCATAATAGGCTCTACCAAGGTTCGATAGATTGTCAATTTCGTTTCTTGTCTAATATCTTTAGACCAAAGTAGAGAGTTTAGAATGTTTACCACTTTTTTTCCCTGCTGTGTTCTGTTTTCGATGTCTCTTTTGGTAGTGCCTTCTTTAGATATTATAGATCCGAGATATTTATATTCATTGCATGTTTTTGTGTTTCTAATTTCTAACTCTGGATCTTCTTCACCATCTCCTATTTTAAGATACTCTGTCTTTGCCATATTCATATTGAGGCCCCATTTTTCATATTCTTTCTTTAGTTTTCTAAACATGTAGTCCATGTCTTCCTCGTCATTCGCTACGACTACCTGATCATCTGCGAAAAATAAAGCTGTTAGACATTCACCACCGCCTATGTCTATTCCCATTCCGGATACTTGTTTTCTCCACTGCTCTAGCGATGATTGAATATATATTTTAAACAGGGTCGGAGACAGACAACATCCTTGTTTAAGCCCCTTGGTTATTGAAAATGATTCAGATATAAAGTTTCCTTCTTTAACGACACTTCTTGCATTTTTGTATATATTTGCGATAGCATCCACATACTCTCTACTGAGACCTACTTTCGTCAATGTATAAAACAGCTTTTTCAAAGGTACCGTATCATATGCCTTCTCTAAATCTACAAACACTAGGTGGGTAGATAGATTCCTTGCCTTCCGTTTTTCGATTACCTGCTGCAGAACGAATATATTATCAATGCACGATCTTCCTGCCCGAAATCCATTTTGTTCCTCTATGTCTTCATATTCTGATTCAATTCGTTTTTTTATTATTCGACCGTACAACCTCCCAACTGAGCTAGTAATAGTTATTCCTCTATAATTAGAGCAATTGCGTTTATCCCCTTTTTTGTATATTGAGCTGATGTATCCAACATTCCAATCATCAGGGATATTTTGTCCTTTTAAGCATTTATTAAATAGTTTAACCATCATCTCGTGTAATATTTTTGGTCCATACTTTACCAACTCAATTGGGATGTCTCCAGGTCCTGCTGCTTTACCGTTTTTCGATCTTTTGAGGGCATCGCTTAACTCTCCGGTTGTTATCTCAATTATTTGTGTATGTTCAGATATTTCTTCCATTTCGATATCTTGGAATTTACGTCTATCCTCTGTCAATAAGACCTCATAATGCTGTTTCCACTGTTTCAGATCTATTAATTTTAAGTTAGATTTTTCCTTTCCTTCCCTCCGGAGAGACTTTATCACCTTCCACGCTTGCCCAACTCTTGTTCCACCCATATACCTATCCACCTCTGCACATCTTCGATCCCACATCTCATTTTTACTTTTCACTACTTCTCTTTTTACATCTCGATTTAATTTCGTATATACCTTGTGATCTTCCTCCTTTCTCGTTGACATCCATTTCTGATAAGCAGTTTTCTTCTTGTTTACTAACGTTTGCATATTCTCCGACCACCATTCTTGATTTTTTGTTGCATGTTTGTCTTTATACCCCAAAGCTTCACTTGCAGCCTCATGAATGTACTTTTTAAGTTGTTGGTATAAATGTTATCATCATTATATTGTAAATTTTAGAATTATATTGATTCAATAACCAAAAGCATTTGTTATTATTAATAATATAAATTTTATGAAATACCTAACTCTTTAAGTCTAATATTACACAAAACAATAATTTTAATTAAATATATTAGACAATTGTACGCAACTAATACGGAAATACTTCAAATTTTATTGACAGTTCAGCGTCAGTCAGCGTGTGGCAAAAGTGTATAAAGTATTGCCGGATTTTTAAAGTAGGAATTTGGTTATGTTTTGATTTCTTACACAATTTGATCATAATATAATATATATATATTAATAAATTGTATTTATAAATACATATTAAATTTAGATTAATAGCTTTAAAAACTAATTATTGTTGTGAATTGTGATTGTGATATGCCAAAATAAATAAATAAGTCTGTAGAAAGCTGATAAGCTTTCATATAAGATGGATTATTTCGAACAAGAAATAATGACGAGACGTTTTTACTATTAAATCCCTAAAAGAGGTAAGTTTAAAATTTAGAATATACAATTTTGTATTAAAATGTTTTCTTATGTATTTTAATATGTTGCAGTAGTTTTAAAACTAAGTGTATTTACTGTTAATATAGTAGTTTGATAAATAGTTGACATTTTAAAAATTCCTCACTTACTAACTATTCTGATGTTTTGGCAACGATGTGAGGATCTGACGACGTAAATCTTGAATAACGTGTAAGCTTTTTTATATGAAAAATGCTATAGAAGAAATTAATCAAATTTCTTCAACATGGGCACACCTATATGAAATGCGATAGGGCTTTTGGACGAATTAAAAAATCGAATAGAAGTATATTCAAATTATTTTTAACTAAAAATTGGATAGATGTGATAAAAAACGCATCAAAGCGTTATATTGTACATTCCATGAGACAAGAAGTTTTTTTGTCTTATTCAAAACATATTAAAATTGTCAGTTTTCATTTTTTTTTAAATCCACCTTGGATGAGGAATTTCATTTCTCTCAGTACATTTTTAAGGTAATGTCCTTTGGTCGCCCATCTTTTGACAGCAAACTTATATTATTTTGCAGCACAAATAACTGCACGAAAATTAACATAAAGAAATGGAAGAATTTACAGAATCTTCTTGAATTTATTTAGAAGCACCAGAGTTTTCTGATTTTCCTTATGATAATGATGATAATATTATCCTCTGATAATGAATAAAATGTTAATCATACCAGTCTGAAAATAAACAGTTCAGTTTTCAAATCTGTACTTTTTTATTTTTCTTTTTTACTATTTACTATTGTTTACTATTTTACTTTTATTCTTATTTACTATTTTATTTAGAGTAAAAACGGTATAAGTACATTGTTTTCAATATGTTTTTTTCCTACTTTTTATTTTTACATTTGGAACCAAAAAATAAGCTCTTTACAAAATGTATGTAAGCATCAAGTATACCTAAATTATTTTAGTAATTTACACTGATGAAATAACTTTAAGTCCAATTATCTCAAAACAAGGTTTAATGCACTTATACCGTTTTTATTCCAAACCTTTCAATTATGTCAAATTTCTCTAAAACGTGTAATTAGAACTCCCCAGGAATCACTACATATAAATACACATTTTGCATCACACGATTTAATAATCAAAACTCACTATTGTTTATGATCAAAAAACTATTTAAAAATAATAAAATTTACCTATATATGGACACTTATTGCATTTAGGGAAATTATATGTAGCTGGTGGCCTTAGAGCATGCTTCGTATACAAATGGTACAACATCAAGGTATGGTTATTGCATTGTCGTCCACAATATTTACACAAGCGTGAGTCGAAAACTTCATCGTGTACATCAGTCATGTGTTTACGATAAAGGTAGTACAATACAAACTCTGGAACTTCACCGTGTTCAGAAACACATTTAACACATACCCATGGCCCATCATCCTCGTCGTCAGGTACTACTTTAGTTTTCTTTTTTATTATAGGTTTACTGGGAAGTGGTTTAGCCGGCTTGGCTACTTGTTCAAGCTAAAAAATATGCAGTATAGAAAGACTACCAAGAATTTTCGAATATTGATATTTTACATACATAAACATGTATCTAAAATATTCAGCCAATAGATGAATTGATTACTTATATATATATATATATATATATATATATATATATATATATATATATATATATATATATATATATATATATATATTAATATATATAAGGTAGTCCAAAATTTTTTATGACTAGTTTGGAAAAAATGGAAAAAATATGTAAATACTTTTTTCTTTTTGGGTGTGATAGTCAATAAAAAATAGAGCTTTGCTAAGGCGTACTATTTATTCTGAAATCCGAGCTTTCGGTGGTTGTTTGCCACCTTTATCAAGGTCTACAATGAAAATTACTGTGTTATAAACTTTGGCTGATGCAATATAAAAGTTATAAAAACTTACCAGAAAGTAAGATTCATAGCATATAAAACACAACGTTATATAACATAATGTGATCTGAATTACTGAAGGCATTAAAACTGTTAAAAATTTTAAAGATAACTTAAAAATTAAAGAACATGTTACAAAGTTTAAAATGTAAAAAATAAGACGACATGTTTGACAAAAAACAGTCGTCTTCGCAGGTTTGAATTCAGTCACATCTCACGAACAGAAAGAGGCAGTAGGCGGAACTATTGTTGTTTAAATAGTTCGATGTAACTACATATTGTTCTTTTTAGATAGCGAAACGTTTTCAATAAATAGATGAAGTAGCCATCATTTTTGTCTGTTTTCTCCAATTTTTGACCGAAAAACCCACCACTCTTCGAGTAATCCATATTTAGTCCATATTAAATGCTAGACTGCATTTCATTTCAGTTGAACTTTCACAAGAGCACTTGTGAACGAAGAGACGATGGGTTGAATAACCCGAAACACGTGTCGGGCAATGGTGGAGTTCCGATTAAAATGAAATGCAATCTTTTACTTTATATATATATATATATATATATATATATATATATATATATATATATATATATTATTATATATATATATATATGTATATATATATATATATATATATATATATATATATATACATGTGTGTGTGTGTGTGTGTATGTGTGTGTTTTGTAGTCTTAAATAAAATGTCTGATCAAAGGTTGCATAACTTTATTTCATTGTACCGCTTAGTTAAATATAATGATACCTGAGTTCAATAGCGTAACAACGTGTTTGACATAAAATCAAAAATTGGATTCTGCTTTTTCTGGTATTAAGGAATTGCAAAGAGGGGGGCCAATGAAATTGGTAGCTGTATCTATAATTTTTTTAAAAGTGAAGCATGCAAAGGAGAACATGTCATTTTCTACTCTGATAACTGCGCAGGGCAAAATAAAATTTTAGGGCAGGGCATAAATTTTTGGTTTGTATGTACCTGTTATGTGTGAACATGTCAATAAAATCAAGACAATTACACACAAATTTTTACAGAAAGGTCACACACAAAATGAAGGCGATAGTATGCATGCCACCATAGAGAGAAAAAGCGTGTTATTAAAAGTTGTCCCAATTTACGTCCCTGCACAATGGCCAAGTATACTCAAATTGGGCAAAAAAAACTGGGATTTCCTACAATGTGAATGAAATTTGCACTCAAGATACACTTGGTAGCGAAATGGGTAAAAATTTCAGTAAAAATACAGAAAAAGAAAAAAGTTATTTGGAATGGTCTTAAAAATTGAATAGAATTGCACGGATTTGCTGATGCGTCTATGAAAGGATACGGAGCAGTAATATATACTAATAGCCAAAACAAAAGTTGCACCAGTTAAAGGTTTAACAACACTGCCGAGGTTAGAATTGTGTGCAGCATTGCTGCTTAGCAGACTCATGAAAAGAACAATTCAAGCACTAAATCGCAGTGATGTGGAAATTTATGCATGGTCTGATTCCACAATTACTCTGGCGTGGATACACGGACAACCAAATAGATGGAAAACGTTTGTAGCGAACAGAGTAACGGAAATAACAGGCACCATACAACCTGATCGCTGGTTTAAAGTACAAAAGAAAATCCAGCAGACTATTTATCTAGAGGGATAAAAGCAAAAGAATTAGTGAGGATGGAGCTATGGTGGAATGGACCAATCCGGCTCGAAGGACCCAATGGAATAGTTATGAGGTTCGAATCGTTTTATAATGCCCTTTGTCCGCTTCTTGTCTATCGACGATAATAAAAGGTTGAAGTTATGCAGAAAAATGTTGATTTTATTAACAGCTACTACAAATTACACTATATGATGTTAGTTAGGTAACTATTTATGATAGACTGTCCTCACGTGAGCTCAAATCCCCAATTTATAATCTCACAAATAATTCATACCTCAGCACAGAGGTTATTGCTTCTATCATACCATACCAACAAACTTTGAACTATTAGCTTACATTACAATTTAATCTAGGCCGTAATTGCGACACTTAAGAAGTTCAATTAGAAAATATATTATTCGGCAATTTATTTAGTTGTAGGTAAATGAACTAATTATTAAAATAGTATACGATATCGTTTTACAATGACTCACTTATACACGGTGAAACTATAAAAGATTAAGAAGTTAAGAATAATGTGAGATTACAAATTAATGGATTAATTTGTGATTGAACAATGTTTACCAATTTTTTTATCCCATCCGAGTAGTACTTTTGCTCGAGCTCTTCAAAATAGGCCGAAGTTTCAGTGACGACTTCATGATTTGTTGCGAAACGGCGTCCTCCGAGCCATTTTTTTAGGTTTGGAAACAGGAAAAAATCGCTGGTGGCAAGATCTGGGGAATACGGTGGGTATTCAACCAATTCATAGCCCAATTCGTGTAATTTTGCCATGGCGACGGCCGATCTGTGAGCCGGTGCGTTGTCTTGGTGAAAGAGCACTTTTTTGCGTTCCAAACGTCGGCGTTTTCAACGCAATTCGGCATCGATTCGATCCAATAATACTGCGTAGTACTCACCATTGATTGTTTTTCCTTTTTCCAAGTTGATGCCCTTCGCATCCCAGAAAACAGTCGCCATCACTTTGCCGACCGAATGTGCACTCTTTGCCTTCTTCTGCTGCCCTTCGTCGCGTTTGCACCAGTGTTTCGACTGTTCTTTGGTTTACGGTGTGTAATATTGCACCCAGGTTTCATCAACAGTGATAAATCGGCGAAAAAAATCCTTCGAAACGCGCCGTATCATCGAGAAAATCGTCTCCGAAGTGGACACACGTTTTTCCATTTGATCGATTATCAGCAAACGCGGCACTCATCGCGCGGATAGCTTTTTTATGTCCAAACGATGGTGAATGATGTTGTGTACGCGTTCGTAGGAAATGTTTAGGACCTCTTTATTTCACGGAGCTTAATTCGACGATCTGCCATAATCATGTCATGTGACTTGTTGATCATTTCCGCGTGGTGACTTCATTTGGCCTCCCGGGACGCTCAGCATCAAAAACACTCGTACGACCACGAACAAATTCAGCTTTCCAAAATTTTACTGTTGCTAACGAAGGTGCAACCTCACCATAAACTTTGTCCAGGTCGGCTTTGATTTGCACATTCGTTTTACCCTTTTTGTAGAGGAACTTAATCACCGAACGATACTCGACTTTTTCCATTTTTCCGAAAACACAAAATTTGCTTGCTTTTGACGGCTGTAAAAACCAAACTAATTGTTTTTAAAACTTAAATTTTGACCGACGTCATGTTATGAATAGCAAATGTCAACACCGATTCCAATTCGGTATTAAGTAGCGCCATCTATCAAAGGCTAGTTCAACATTAAACTATCCTCATAGTGTAACAATGTCACTAAATTTCAGTTAATTTAGACAAATATTACCTAAAAATATTCTAATTTTGGACTTGTTACGATATTGAGGTGATGTATCGATAAGTTAATGCAACACAACAAAGAATAGATCGATCAAGTTTAAAACAAACATTCAATTATTTCACAGTAATATAATTTTTAGTTATCATAAAACGTTTGTTGAATCAAATCTATTAAATCTGAAAATTAACTAACCTGAGGTGGAGACTGCTTAATTGGTTCTATAACAGCATTTACAATCTTCTTATCGCCTGTTTCCTTATTTCCTGGCATTATTTTCAATTTGATGTTCTTATTTTTCTTTACAAGATCTGGATATTTTTTTAAAATCTCTGCAACTATTTTAGTATGGTCTATATCGCTGGATGTTGCCGTTTCTACCGATATTTTGTTGTTGAATTTAATTTTTTTTGTTGGTGGAGAAACCTGTTCAATTTTTCTTTTCAAACCACTATCGTTGTTCATATCATCAGCTGAAAATTCAATTTGGTATTAACCTTTGTGGCAACCAATTAGGTCAAATTGATAAAAATTTTAACATTTTTTTTAACAAATAATTTTTTTAAAACGATTTGCGATTTGGAAATCAAAATGTCAAAACAAAAATGTAATAGAGCCAATTGTGGTTTAATCCCAAATAAATATAATATTTAAAACTGAGAAAGCAAGCAATTAACGGAATGACAAAGGTAAACACAGTGACCATCATGAAATCACTATCATCAGGATGATAGAGAAGATGTAGTAGATGAAATAGCGCGAGAACAAGGTGTAATTGTAGTTCGATTGCCGCCATACCATTGTGAGTTAAACCTGATAGAACGTATGTGGGCGCAAATAATAATAAAGTAGCAAGGAACAACATTACTTTCAAATTGAATTATGTAAAAAATCTGCTTAATAGCTCCTTCAGCAATGTGATCTTACACTCATTGACAAAATTCTGAGCCGATTCTGAGCAACGACATCGTCGTAATGCTCCCGTTTGACCACCTTGAGCTGTTTATTGTTACAAATGGTATTCACTTTTAACAGCTGACAACCGAGTAACAAGTACCATAATAAAATAGCGACCTAGTACTAGTAGAACTAGTATTGGAATACTTAGGTTTAAGTTCTCCAGATATCTCGATAAACGAAAAATAAACAAAACATAAAGACATTATAAACAGATTACATGTTGCCGAATCATATTGAACAAGTTAAAAGATTGTTTTCATAGACATATCTCAGAAACATTTACAAAACAAAACCCGTTATATAGGAAATACATAACTGTATACTCTAAATGTTACATAATTAAAAAATAATAAAATACTTACGATCTTCAAACATGGCACTCCGAATTTTTTGCTCCTTAGCAAACTCCTCGATGTCTTTAAAGTTTACATCTTCATTTGTAGTACTTTTTAAAGAAGTTTTCTTTGGTAATTCAACATTGTTTCTAAGATCATCAAAGGTGGGTTTGATCTGCAAATGTATGTTATTTTATGTAATTATTTATAACATTATGGATGTAAAAAGGACATATTCAAATGTATCAAACAACAAAGCTTGGATGTGTTGTGATAGTAAATAAGCAGACTGAAAGAGTCTCACATGCAAGTTGAAAATCAACTCAGTCAACAGAACATATTGTATGACACATTAATCATAATTAGGTAATAATGGCATTGACAAAATGATGACTAAGGTATATGAGCAAGATTGTATCTGTATAATTAAATCAGTGGCGTAGTATAAAAGATACATTTTTACTGAATTTGACTTCTTATCTATCCCGTGACAAATAAGTGTTGGGGGAAAAAACGGAGATGCGCAACGGTTCTTGACCCTAGGCAGTGTTCCTAAAGGTAGGATGAAAACATCCGTGAATGGACAGAACTCAATTCACATATTATATTCACACTAGGAATTCATGGATCCCTGCTTGAGTGGTTGGAGAGCTACCTGACAGACAGGCTTCAGGTTGTCAAAGTCAAAAACTGTCTTTCTGAAGAGATTTTGGTTAGGTCTGGCGTCCCACAAGGTGGTCATTTATCGACTATTCTTTTTATTTGTTTCATAAATGACATTTTAGAAATCTTTGAAAATTGTGTTATTTTGTTGTATGCTGATGATTTGAAAATTTTTAGAATTATTAAGGATGTTAGAGACTGTGTAAAAATGCAAAAAGATGTAAATAATTTCTCAAAATGGTGTACAAAGAATGACCTCTCACTTAATATCGATAAATGTAAAATAATGCGCTTTTTCAGAAACTCACAACCTATTTGTTTTAATTACTCTATAAATAATATATTTCTGGAACCAACAAACACTTTTAAAGATTTAGGTGTATTTTTTGATCCCACTTTATGTTTCAAAAATCACTATAATTTTATTTGTAATAAAGCTTTTAAATTACTTGGATTTTTGAAAAGAACCTTGTCAGAATTCAATAATCTAGATTGTTTTAAAAGTGTGTATTGTTCTATGGTTAGATCAGTTCTGGAATATTCCAGCACTATTTGGTCTCCTTTATATAAATGTCATATTGAAAGCATTGAGAAAGTTCAGAAAAAATTTTTGCGCTTTGTCGGCTATAAATTAGGAATTTCTTCAGAAGATATAGTGTATTGTGATATTTTAAAATTACTTAATATACCAACATTAGAAAATCGTCGTTTAATGCTCGATTTGGTTTTTCTTTTCAAGATTGTAAATGGAATGATAGATTCGCCTCAAATTTTGAAGAGAATAGGTCTTAGGGTTCCTCAAAGGTGCACAAGATCCAAGGACGTTTTTTACTTAGAATTTCAACAAACAAACTATTGTCTAAATAGACCTATAAGACGAATGTGTCAATCTGGAAATGGTTTAGATGTAGACTTTTTTTCTAGCTCTCTGAATAGTTTTCGAAAAAAGCTGAAAAAATCTTTTTAAAATACAATGTAGGCTGTCACTGTAAACTGTCATTTAGGTATTTATTCTATTTATTTGTCATGTGTTAATTGTATTGTAATTATTATTGAATTCTAAAACTTTTAATATGATATTGATTTATTTAATGATTGTAATTATTGTAATTAGTATAACCGTAAATAAACTATTTATTTATTTATATTCCTGAGAAAGGAACAAAACGGTATTACATTCTATATATTGTAACCGCCCGTTTTTTTTTGTTCTTGACTTGGACAATTGAAAAAAAATTCGACATCCTCTCAAACCTTCGCTAGATTGAAAGCGACACAGTTTTCTCGAAAGAAGCAGTCGCTATGTATTTTACAATATACTCGCTCGGAAAGAGAAGAGTCATCGCACGTTTATATGTTTTGATTGATAATATAATCAATCAAAACTCTGTTACTCACTGTCTAGACCGCAGTAAAAATACGAGTAGACAATTTATATGTTTTTTACATATAAATTGTGTTGATTTATGCCTATCTTACGCAGAAATAAGTGCAGTTACTACACAATCGTGCTGATTTATATGTTTTAAGCATAAATCGGCACTACAACTAAACAGCTCAGCTATTGAGTTGACGGCATACTACACACTTACTGTAGTGTACACAATTGCTAATGTATAGGTTTTATGTATAAACTAGCACTACAGTGTGAAAAGATACTTTAAAGTACACAGTATTTAGCTGTTATACTTAACTCTATCTTTTCACTTTTCCCGTTTTTAATAATTTATATTAATATAACGATCCTTTATTTTTGTTTATTGTTTTTTTATTCTAAAAACGAAAATAATTTGCGCTTAAATTCTACTTTTCAATTTCTGTCTTGTCTACTAACTTTTCGATTCCCCTGGTATCTCAAAACTTCAATATTCATACATGTTTTATCAATATCCTTACTTCTTGGAGCTTCTAATGTTGAAATATCTTGTTCCGAAGAGAACAGGCCATTTTCATCGTCAACAATTCTGCTATATTATATCCAGCTTATAACCAACAACAAAATCGTTCCTATCTAAATGTTTGGGTAAGTCAATAATGATCAAAATTCCACATAAACTATTGCCAGAACCTAGATGTATTCTTTGACTCAGGGATTTATTATCTACCACAAATATGTCCACATAGTCTACTAAATTTGTTTCTCATTTAAATATATGATTTAAAGTATGCTGTAAAAAAAATCAATTTTTCCTTGTAAGCAGATATTTGTAAGATGCACAAATGAAATCAGATAGTCTTCAGAGTCTTCAATGGACTGTTAATTGCTTCAAAATTTGACAAACATATTGGAGACAGAAATTACAGGTGACCAAGGCTCAAAATTTATATCAAAAGTTACAATTATAACAAATAACTTACTTTGTCTTCATCCTCCTTGGTAAGCAATGGTTTACTAGTGTATGATATATCTTCAAAACTAGTATCCAAAAAATTTATAGGGGGAAGATCATCTTCAGGCCATTCAAATCGTGTAGGTTTGGGTGTATTGTCAAATGTATCTGAAACTTTGCTCCATTTCTGTTCAAACATATGTGAAGTAGACTGTGAAGAACCAATTGGAGATGCAGCTGCTGCTGCAGCTGGTGGAGTTTTTCTTTTCCATACAGGAACTTTCCTACCAGCCAAAGGATTAGGAAGCTCTTGTTTTATAGGTGGTACTGCTGGCTGCCTTTTTGGTTGGACAGGATCATGTTTGGGCTTCAGAGCTTTTTCTGATCTTTGAGCAGCCAAAAGCTTTGTTAAAATGGTGATATTCATCATCTCAGCAGCCTTGAAAAGACGTTCATAAAGGGATACATGGAATTCCAGCATGCCTATAAATGGAATTTATTTTGTTATTATCTAATCTTTGAAAAGTTTCCCAATGGCATAATATGTTATCTTTTCATTATTATAAGGCATTATAAAGACACCATTAAATTTATTCAAAATATAGAAATAATACAGAAGATGGGCTGTGTCAATTAATGTTTATTTATACTAGATGATAGATGAACAATATCGGTAGTAGTAAGTCATATAAAGCAAGGGATAAATATATGAACTCAAACCAGAGTTGTGCAATTAATGATAGATTAGGTTCATAAAATACTAAAACTCATAACATCTTACTAGAAGAATGATATTAACGTAAGATGAAAAGATAAATTTCTTGAAAACACAAAAAATAAATATAAAACAACAAAAAGACATTGTACTTCTAATAAAGCCTGAAAAATATTGCCAAATAATGAATTTAAGTTAATTTGTTTCAGTTATTTATGATAATTCATATTCATTACTTTTAGTCTATATTCCTGTATATTTACAATCATTAGTTATTGCATTTATAATTTTTTTTAATTATGGAAATCTCACATATGTTTTAAGACATATTTACCTGTGTATAAAAAATTAACTATTGGAACTATAACATCTGACTGAAGACCTGATGGCATCATAATAGTATTTTCCTCTGTTGCAGGGCATGTTTCTTCCAAGTATTGAAAATATTCAGTACAAGCATTCATAACCAGTCTATGTACTTTTAATTGGACATTGCCATCAAATTGTAGGGTCAAATCACAATAATCTGTTTTAGCAAAAAACACTTGAAGACGCTGGAGGAAAAAAGTCCCCCAGTTGTCCACCCTTACTTGTTTATTTCCTTGTTCAACCATGTTTACTAAGTTCCAGTTTTACCTAAAATCATCTCATTCAGTAAAGGTTCAAGTTATGTGAATAACATTTTATATTCAAAATATGTGATTTTGTTAAAAATGCCATACGATTTGCGGCGTCCCTAGCTATAGATGATCAAGATGAAAACAATTGTAGTTCACTGTTTATGTGGATAAACAATTGTTTAGGGAAATATTAATAAACAAGCAACTTATTAACAATTTGAGGTTTCAAAATAACTGACCTTTTTCTATTATGAAAATATTAGCTCCATCTTATCACAAGCTTCCAAACATTACAACTTCCATGTTAAGATAATCCAAAGAAACTATTGTTGATGGCCGTGTCCAGGTGGCGCTTTAAAACCCGCCAAATTCAATTTTTTTAGTGTTTGTACTTTTTTTTAAGACATTTGCTATAAATATATAGATATCGTAACAATAACACACAGTCTTCCTATCTTTGATCAATTTTTGTAACATTTTTTGCAAAATGGAATTATTAGGTAAAAAATCAATGTCGGCGGCCATTAAATTCTTTCTAAATCCGAGTCAGCCATAGTGATAACCGAAGGTGGACGATGTAGAAGCACCCCTCCTAAGTTTTAGCACAATCAATGTATGGTAGAGTTCAGAACCGAGAGATGGCGCTTAAATTATTTTTATAAAAATTTAATTGTTTTTTGACAGTAATATAATTATATTTTTAATATGAACTTACTTTTTTTTCTTCTAGGAAGGAAACAAGATCGATAATTTGACTCCTATTGACTCTACCTTTGAGATTGTATGTAAAAATAATACATTATTCGTTAAATAAGTTTCCAACATGGGTACCTTGCAAAAAGGGATACCAAGGGAATTTTTTATTTTAATCATAGAGCATAGATCCTTATGACTTGCTGATCACACTTTCCTCTGTACTCAAATTTACGATTTTTTTATTCAATTTAATTTATAGTTTAATATCAACATTATAGGTTATAAAATAAAAAAAAATGCTCCGACACTTATATTGCATGCATTGCCAAACATAAACAAATTTTGTACTCTGGAGGAGACCAAACATTCGAAATACACTTAAAAAATTATAAAAACATCGATGAAGTTTTTATGAATGATAGTTTACTTCAGTCCTCAGAGACGAAAATACCATTGAACCTCTAAAAATCATACGAACAAGCTGAATTTTGATGAGAATGTTAAATTTGGGACCACTTAGAAGATGTAAAAAAGTTTACCACTTTTACCCAGCCCCCCCGACTTCCCCCTAAAACGCTCACTTGTACTAAGGGAAAAAACGGAAAAATCGAATTATTAAAAATCTGTATCTGTACGCCGCACAAGAAAATGTAGCTGCTAAGAGTAAAAAGCTGAGATAATTTTGAACAAAAATGTTATATTAGCGTTTTCGTGTAGAATAAACGGTTCTTTCAGAAACGCCTCTTGAAGCGACCGGCGAATTTGAATGTCAGTTATTACGGGCTCGAAATAAATTTTAAAGAAAATGTGAATCAACTCTATGGTACAAATTCGATATCTTTTCACCAGAGTGTCCAATTTCCGTTTTAAGTTTAGCAATAAAGGTGAGGAGAAATATACCTAAAAACGCCGATTTTAAACTTTCACATTACAAACTTCTGGTCAGAATAGCCGACACATTTCTTTGCAGAGTTATAATCAATTATACATTTCGGTTTCACAATATCCTCTTTTTGCCTATTCTGCTTTCCTGTTGGAATCAACTGTTTAGTATGTGCTGGGACACTTGAAATCATTAACTTGTTCTTCTTCTTCTTGTACCGTCTTCTAACGAATGTTGGCGATCACTTCTTTAAACGCTTCTCGATCTTTTGCAACGTGAAATATCTGTTCAAGACTGAGGTTAGTCCAATCTCTGATATTAATCAGCTAAGATTTCTTCTTTCTTCCCTCTACTCTACCTTGCATGATGACTTATAGCAGAGAGTATTTATCGTTTCGGAGTATGTGGCCCAGATACGATGTTTCAATCATTAACACAGGTCTCTTATCCACCCACTTAATAATAAATTCTTAGTCTATCTTTCTTTTCTCCAGTGACCTCTGTTGGCTTCATCTTCTTGGACTGGTTAAAAATAGGTGGTATTTGTTTTCTGTTTCTGCTAACAACCTTTTAACGAGAGGTATTCCTGAATAAAAGTTATCAGCAAATAATATTTTGCCAGCTATATCTGTGTTACACTGAAGTAATTTTAGAACAACTGCTTTAGAGTGTTCTACATTAACTGGTTATTGTTCATTTTTTCCTGTGTAAATACTTACATTGAAAGTATAGCCTTCAGGAGAACAGAGTTTGTATAGTTTCACTCCATACTTACGAGTCTTGTTGGGGATGTACTGACGAAAATGAAGTCTCCATCTGAAAGGTATTATAGATTTATTTATAATGAGAACGTTGCCAGGCTCCATCATTCTTTAAAAATTTTGACTCAACTTCGTAACTAAATTTTCTATTTTGCATAATCTATTATATAGTGGTATGAGATGTCTCATTATTTTCAAAATAAAGAAGTTTCACTAAAAGCAAAAAGCGGTCTCAAGTTAAAACTTTCGCGATAAATTTTTTATAAAATATATCCTCTTATTAGACCAATACAAATTTAAATGTGGTACCTTAGTGAGACTCATTGCGATTATTAGGTACCCCTAGGAAGGCTCTTATTTCAGTTTTGTTTGTGGCTGTCCATAAATTTAATTTGGATTTTCTTGAGTGTCGCATATACTTAATTGTTGAACAGCATAAATGTTGGTTTCATTAATAATATTATCCAATATTTCATCAGTTACGAAATGACTACAAACGTCTATTGGTTTCTGTACCGCATGTGGTTCAATACCAACTAATGTATTCTTTTTTACTACAAAATCTTCACCATCTACATCACTATTCTCAGCACTCTTTTGATTATTATCTGATGGAACTTTCCCATATGGTGTAGTAATAATTTCGTCATCACTATCAATAGAAGAATTTAAATTGGAGGATGAAGAAGATTTAGGAACATAACTAAGCAATAAATCGTCACTGTCAAAGGGTTCTTCGATACTGTCGGCATCAGATGAAGATTGAGTTGCTGTCTGCTCATTCTCCATGGAGTTGTTTGGAATTAAAAACTATGTTTGAATATACAATTACATCCTTCTAATTGAAAAAAGGTTATTACCCCTTTAATGTTCATTAGATTTTTAATGTATTTTGTTTTGTGAAAATCTGCTTCATTTTTTATCGGATTGGAAGGCTGGAAGAATTATCATATTTGTTAAAAATTAAATGATGTTAGATATCGGTAATTTGAAAAAAATTGCAATATTTTTTTTTCAATTACACTCAAATGCAAAAAAGGCAACGTAGAAAATTTTGGTCAAATTCAAAGTAAGTATTTCAATGTTTTTATTGTTAGCCCTATTTTGATTTTTTTAACACGCTGTGTATAAATTTATAAATTTTAATTTGCTATAGTCAGTTTTTTGATAAAATTTTATATTTGACTTGTACGGGGTTTATTAAAACATGGTTTTATTATCCTAACTTTGAAACATCCTGTGGAATAATTATGTCTGCGAATATTCGTAAAACCTTATTTTTCGGTTACAAGTATGTCTTCTAAGCATTGTGTTTTCTATTTCATGTCAAAATATGCCTTGATTCATTTTTTAGGGCAAAATGAATTTGCCACCCACAGTTTAAGACTTTATAAATTATAATTATTTTAGTAATACGACGAAGTGGCTTTGGTGACTGTTACCATTATGTCATATTGACACTTACATTTTGTTTACCTATGGTTGATCATGGTTCAGTATCGAATATTGTTTGAAAGCCGTTGCACTGGTTGAAGATGGGCGAAATTATGAATATATGGCTCAGTGTCCAGTGATATGTAAGAGATATGGCTATACCAGAGAACTACGAACGCAGGGAAGCGACACTCCTTTGATCTTGCGTGGGCAAGCCGCCAACGAGTGAAAATGACAGGAAAGCAACCAGCTTACTAATAGTCAGTGGGCATATCACACAATATAAATTCTTAAATACAATTGAGCATTTATGTTGACTTTCAATAAATATGAAATATTGCACTGAAAAAATAATTACATTATGTATAATAATATGTAATAATGTAATTATTTTTGATTTACAAAAGGTTGCAAATTGTTCTGTTGTAATTTTAAGATTTTCCAATTGTGTTTATCATATTATATTGAAATTTGGAAGGTACTGCGTCATGAACCAATGGTTTTCTTTTATTTATTTTTTTTTGACAATAAGATAATCTTCAAAATGTAGTTCACAAATCCTATAACTATTATAAAGTATATCCATTTTTAACACTAAATGTTCTTGTCTGCAAGCTTCTATCCACATTTTGGCACTACAAATTTTTAACTGAACAAATTTTAAACAAAGAACTTTTTGTATTTATAAATAACACTTCATTACTTACAACTATAAGAGTATTAGTATATTCTAAGTGTATTGTAAGTAATGAAGTATTTAACTTTTTTCAATATCTCATCTTAATAAATTTACAGTTTTCTCCTGATTAAGTCACAAAATTGTCACTAAATATTAAGATATACAACAAATAAAGTTTTAATATTTTTTATTTGTAATTCCCATTTAAAAATTTATTTCCTAAATATGTTGTGTACTCCGATCCATATATTTGATCTTTGTTATTTATATTGACCGAATTAAACATTGACAGACAACTTTTATATATAGCAAAAAGTAGATGAGCATTTAGTTTTTTCATAATTTAATGTAAGTTTGTTTGGTGAAAAAGACAGCAAATATTTGAAGTTATGTTAATGTAAGTCTGTTTATTTGTAATCATGTTTTTATTTTGAAGTCTTGTTCTGTTGTAATTTTAAGATTTTCCCAATTATCGGTCTAAGTATGTTTCCAACAAATTTTAGTTTGAGCATTTTAGGAATTTCTTTGTTTCGTTTAAATCAAATATTCTTGTGTATAAAACCCTCTATAGATTTTTATTTCCTAAAAATACTATATTCGTATTATTGTCTGCGAGCGCTTTCACATCAGTAGGCCAACATCTGTTGATTTTTTGACCTGAGCCTTCGGAGACAATAAATTTAATGTGTGTTCGTAGTTCTCTGGTTTTTATTTTGAACTATCCTTTGGCAGACCAAAATTTATTTTTTTATTGCTCCACTTAACGAGAGCTCGGACGGACACGTCGGCGTCGGCTTACTGATCGAAAGTCAAATTAATACTATTATGTAATAACTAATAATAATTACAAAGCAATAGTAATTACCTGTTATTATTCTTAAGAATTCTAAATAAACTTATTCCTTTCCTGTCACAGATGAACATCCGCGAAACGCACAACAATAACCTGAAGACATTTTAAATACTTATAAATTAAACTTTTAACTATAAACTATAACTATAAACTTATATATTTAACTTATATATTTTAACTATAACTATAAACTTTTAACTACTAAGTAAATTAGATAAATGGTCAATGCACTTGTATAGTCGAGAATTTACCACAGGTGCCTACGGACTACCGTAAGCAACCAGAGTTAAAGAAAACGCACGTGTTTTTGCAACCAATTTCGGGCATGCGTATACAGAAAAGATACACGGATTTCGGGGCTCGTGTCGCTTCTGTGTTCGTAGTTCTCTGGCTATACTTCATCTAATTTACTTACCCTTGCACGTCATCCGCGTCATAGTCCGTGAGGTCACATTATACCAACACGAAATATTTATTAGAATCACTTTGCCGAGAACACTGGCATAACAATTACTAGACATATTTTATTAAATACGCGTAGAAATAATATTTAAAGATTTCTATTAATGTTAACTTAAAGAAATACACAATAATATGTTTCATTTAATTTGCATAAATGCATTATAAAGCGTTTTTATGAAGAACATTTGTTCGGAACACAATGTAACTATTCGAACGAATGTGATATTTTGGCATAAATTGGTAACATTTATTGACAGTTATTGAGTTGCGGTGTTGACATTTTTTGTACTTTATTATTTTGAATTTTAAAGTGGATACCTCTTGTTTTATATTTTTACCTATTTAATAAAATATGTTCTTTTTAGAACAAAATTAAGTAAGTGAATTAGATGAACTATAGAGTACTATACACTCATCGCTCTACAATCCAAAGGGTTGTGAAACGTTTTATGGGAACGGAATAAACAAGCGTAAAGCTGGAAGTGGCAATAAGCGTAAAACTACCGCTTTAGATTATCGTTTTATACGAGTCAACGCTTTGTGTGATTGTCATTTAACAGCGGTGAAAACAAAAAATCAGCTTCAAGGTTCGAGGCATGATACTATGACTATAAGAAAAGATATTGCGCATGTTTTTGTGACGTCATTGGAGACTTGCACGTTCGAAATGTCAGTTTTTGTATATATCAATAAATAATCTTTAATAAATAATTTGGAGATATCCTTATGTGTACGATTATTGTAATTATTAAACCTCTTAACTTATTTTCGTCTAGTAATTTCATCACAGAATGCATACAAATCTCATTTAACTTTAACAAGAATTCAAATTCTAGTCTCCAATGACGGCATGCGCGAACTCGACCGATTTTGAGCTACGGGATGATCCTATCTTGTTATTCATAGTATCATGGTTCGAGGCAATATTGTAAGTGTATTTACAGTTCGTCATAGAGTACATGAATTTGGTTTTCGAAATTGCAGACGAGCAACTAGGCCCAAATTACTTCCACGGCACAGAGTGGCTAGACTACAATTTTTCAGGGAAAATTTACATTGGAATTTAGGACAATGGAGTAATGTTCTTTTTACTGGAGTAATATTCCCGTTAAGTGTTTTGTTTATTCCAACTTAAGCGAATGAATTTTAAAAGATAATTGCTCACTCTCGCTGGGGAGTTGTCAAGAGCGGTAAGCTTCAGCGTTATATCCAAATTCTTCATCGAATTTGAAATGTTTTCTTATTTTATGTTCCTTTTTAAGGACAATAAGCAGCAGTAAGGTTAAGAGTAGCAATTTATTCAGTTAAATGTGTAGTTGCAGTCTAATTCTACCTGTCCCAGTTTTTTAAGGAGAAAAGTTTTCAAAGTTTGTGTTCCGGTGGCCCAACTTATAACCTCAGTAACCCTTCCTTCCTGTGTTTTGTTTTGTTTGTCCCAAGAGATTCATGTTAGTACCCCTTTGTTTAATTTTTTTGTAGGTGCCCCAATCCGACCCCTTGTAATTTACTTATCCACGACCCCAGCTCTCCAAACAAACTCTGAAAGCCGTTCGCACAAGTAGCGTTTATTTTGCTTGCCCTATCTCCACCCCCATAGTCCCTGTCCCCAATTTTCTACCCCTAATAGTAATACCCCTTGTGGTAGGAAAAATATATTCGATATACTATTAATGTAATATAATGTGCAACACCACCCTGCAAAGTGTGTCACGCAAAATTTAGAGCAAGTTGGTTTTAATAAAATTAACTATTCAGCGTGTTCGCCAGATCTGAACCCAATAGAGCACGCTTGGGACGTGCTTGGTAGAAATATTAGAGGTCGCGAAGTCGCACCAGCCTCAATTAACGAACTTCGCTTGGCTCTATAGTAAAATTCATTAAGCGGTGCAGGAAAATATAAACATTAAATCGTGTCCGAACCGGTATGAACCGCCGATAACATCGCCAGAGGAAATAAAGATGGACATTCCGGTTAGTTTTCAAATATTTTTGAAGAACTGTTACTTGCATTTATGCATAAAATATTCATTAATTTTATAAATCGGATTATTTTTTCACTTACTTTGTATTCAGTGATAACATAAATTTATTTACTATGCAATAAACACGAATATTTGAGAAAAGAAAAAATAATAATAAAGTGTCTTAATTATACTGTACTTATCGGAACGAGTAGACTCATTTGGAACATCTTTAACAATTATCTGTTAAATTTATCGTTGTTTATATGCCCTGCACCGCTTAATGGAATAAGGTATAGAAGAGGAATGGCAAAACATCTAGCAAGATGATATTCACAACCTAATAGACAGCATGTGCCGACGTGCACAGGCAGGTATAGGGGCCAGTGGATGCAATACAAAGTATAAAGTTTGTTTTAGTAGTTTTTCTTTGTTATTTGAGTACTTAGGTTAAGTTACATTATGTGATTTTTTTATGTTTTGTTATTGTTATCATTGTTCATTAAAACCGAGATCATGTCGTTGCTTTTAATCATTATTTAAATACAGTGCTTCTGGAGTGTCGATATGGCATTACTTCGATATCATTCACCCAAACCGTCATCGTTGTATTACAAATTAATACAAAAGATATTGGTAATAATAGGAAAAGTCGTAAATTGTGAGTCATTTAAAGTCATAAAGTCATGTCGCTCCTGAAAATGAACCAATCCACATTTTCACATGAAACAAAAAACATGAATGATAAAAAAACTGAAATATTTTGAATTTGTCAATTTAGTCAAGATAGTTTTTAATTCCAAACTTTCTTTATAGTCGCTTGACTGTGGATACCTATATTGATTAGCTTAAATTTCTAAGTAACTTAAGGTATTTGTTTTATATAATGCCATAACACTTAATATTTTAAAACTCATCTAACACTACTGTGGTTATAATAATCTTTTAGACTCATTGTATTAGTAAAATTTTCCACTTAATGTCTACGCCAATGACCAATTTTACCTTGAAATGAAAAGTAAATAATAAACAGGAGATGGCAGCATTGTAGGTCAGAATTTTTTCTGTTTTTATCAAGTGTTTATCATTTATTATACATCACCACAGAATTTCCAGTTCCTACTAAGAAGTTGATTGAATAACTTTTGTCCCTCACTTACTGAACGAGTTGTTATTGTCACGTGCCAGTGTTTGTGCAAATTGAAGGACATTTATAATCTGACGTTGTATCTACGTCAGTCCACGAGCCTCCACAATTTTTATTATTCGCGAATTAACTATCATAGCATCGAGGTGAAATTGTGAATTATCAGAATTTTTATGGTTAAGAGTGGTAGTGAACTAAATATAGTGATTCCTTATTACACGTTTTGCAATATTGTTTATTGTTACGTCAGGGTAAGACAGTTGAAGTGATTCGAAAATAACAATCAAAATAACTGGATTTCTAATTTGTGAACAGTACTAGAAAAACAAAAATATTGGATATTGTCAAGTCATGATAAACCAGCACAGCATGGTAGACTAAAATTGAATAACCGTAGGACATCCAGTGTTGTGAACATTTATATAATCAATTTTTGTGTAAACTAGCTTATTGTCAAATTAAAAAGGTAAGTCATTTTGTATTTGCAAAAATCGAAGGTTGTATATCACATCAACGCGTGGAGATGTTTTTGTTTACATTCTGTACTCAAAATGTCCGCAAAGAGAGATGGAAGATGATTGAGCAGGATATATTGATTTTTCACCATACATGTTACATATTTATGTTTACTTCTCCTTTCCTAGTAATTTCATTGTATTGAGCAATATTATAAACCTCGCCAAAAATATTAGCGAGTAAACAAAATACACAAACAATGAAATGCCAATTGAATGGAATGTTGTTTGTCAGTGGCGTACAGTTACAGATTAATAAAAAATAGTATTATTTTATTAGTAACCTCCAAATTAGTTATTCATGTTTTGATTAAAAACAAATGATTCATGATATATACGGAATTTTCATACGATCTAACAATATATCAAAAATAAGTTTGGTATTGTTATCAAACAATACATCTAAAACATCAAAAATACTTTCTCTGCTTATGCTAATGACCCTGAAATGATTTGCAGATTTGCTTTATTGTCTAATTAGTTTAACAACAAATTTAAGTATATGAACATGGCTATTATTATTTTCAAAGGGGGTTCAAATTCACAATCTACTAATTATGATTATTCATGGATGTAACAGATATACTATAATATATATTACATCATTGGGATAATAATTCTATCTAACATTAGGTTATCTGACATACAAATTGTATAACCTTACTTTAAATGTATATATTTATTATTATTTCTACATTAGGTATTAGGATCAAATATCACATATTATGCAGGACTAATTGAATCCATCATTTTGAAAAAGGGTCACCTCCACTTTTTTAAATTTTACAGGAGAGGTAAAAAACTTCCTATCTTTATTATTATTAAGAAATTAAGTGTTTTTATATATTTTTTGATTTTATGATTTACTATACAAACCGAGGAATATTATAAAAATATATTTTTTTTAATTTTAAAAGACCTAGAAACCAAAATGTTTTGTAAAAGAGATGACCCGTTTTCATTCAGGTAATAAAAGTAAGAATAGTCATTATCATATGAATATTGTTTATTAGAAACATTAAAGTGCTACACTAAATTTAGAAGAAAAAACAAAAACATTTAAAATACTTAAATAAGGATGGTTTAATTGTCTCCTTGTTCTACTTCTTCCGCACTGGTAGTAGGCCATTCACAGATCATGTTGTAGAATGGCTTGTGATTATCTGGAATGTATTGTAGAAGCTTCTTAATGTTTTCAATTTTTTTATGTTTATTGGAATTTTCCCCTGATAGGCAGGAAGATTTTGAGAATCAGGTATAAACATAGGTGGACTGCCCTTTTGTTGAGGTTTTTAAAGTTGAAAACGTTCTTCAAGAATGCCATCAATATATGTGGTTTAGCTAATACCACACCCAAATCATCTGAGGAAAAGCTAAATTCATAATAAGAGTTAATACTGAAACTAACCTTTTCGTTTTTTGGAATTTCTTTACCAAAGCTTCGTGTAGACAAAACTTTCTTTTTAAAAGAATCTGGCCGCAATTTTTCATAAGCAGCTACATCTATATGAGTAATATGTCTAATATCAAATTTATTATGACTAGAGGAAGAGATGATTTAATTTTCATGTTCCTCTACAGAAAAAATACTGTCGTGGCGACAAGTTTTTCTTTTAATGGCACCGAAATCTCTGCCATAATCATTAAATAAGTGGCTCTGCTGTGGAAAGTAAATAGTAATTTTTTTTAACTTCTTGGTCATTACTAGGGCCAGAAGATTCTGGTTCTCCAGTTTTTCGTGAAGCTATGCGTTTGCGACATAATTTAGATGTTCTTTTGATATATAGATAGAATTTATTCAAACACAAAGTTTACACAATTCTTACAAAAAAAAAATGTATAAATCTTATCTGACTAGTCAAAATTTTAGTACAAAAGAGTACAATATATAGCAAAAGTACACATGATTAAAATAAAAACGTGATTACAATAAAATAAAGAAGAAATAAAAGTGACAAATACAAGTTACAAATACAAATTTTAAACTATTGTTGCAAAAATGTTAAAAATTTAAAAATCCATTAACACTGTAGAATGTGTTGTCCATTAAAAATGAATACACAGTTTGGCGAAAACCTTTATGTGAAGAATTACTGAGAGTTAAGTAATATATTGACTATTTTATTGTAACGTTTTATTCCAATATATTCAGGTGCATTTTGGGATACACCTAATCTAGAGAAAGTTTGTTGAAGATTTGATTTATCCATAGTATCATCTGAGTGAATGTTCTCATTTCTGTCAAACTTGAGCTTGTTTTCCTCAATGTGCAATGTTAATTGGAAAATTAAAGGGCTAGGTAGTGTTAAAATATTAGATTTCTTAAATAGTGGCTTGCAACTATCTGAAAATGGAACACCATACATACTTCTTAAAACTTTTTTTTGACTTATAAATGCCCGTTCAAAATGAGATGAGCAACCCCAAAATATTAAGCCATACTGAAGTCCAGACTGGTCTAAACTAAAGTAAATCATTCGCAATATATCAAATGAGACAGTTTCTCTTAAATTACGCATTATATAGCTACATGTACTTAACTTTGCTGATACATGATTTACGTGAGTTTCCCATGTAAGTTTTGGGGTTACCCCAAAAATTTCATTGTAGTATAACTTTCTACTAATTTACCATCCACATTTAAATAAAAGTCAGAATTTGGAGTTAAGTTTTTTGGTAAGAAACGCATAAAATGGGTTTTTGTTAAGTTGAGCTTGAGTCTATTATTTTTACAATATGTGCTAAATTCAGCAGACACAACATTGGCATTTTTCACCAGTTGTATGGGTTCACTGACATGAGAATATTGATATCATCCATTCTGGCATTGATCAAAACGTGTTTAGGTCACTTACAAATATAATGAAAAATAAAGGCCCAAGTATTGAGCCTTGAGGTACACCCATTGTACATTGAAGCGGCCTCGACGTTACGTTTCCCACTGTGACTACTTGAGTTCTATTACTTAGTTAAGATAGGGCCCAATTGTACATTATACTCGGTACAGTTTATTGTCACTGAAAATTGTACAATTTAATGGACAGAGCTTACAAAAAGTCAAAAAAATAACAATAGCAATTTAAAATTTACTGAAATTACATAAAACGTCAATATTACAAAATAAAAGATAATAAAATACACAATCCATTGTAAAATTTAGATAAATTGCATAATAAATCCTTACGAAATAATAAGTTAAAGTTGCTGCATGTGATAAGTACTCAAATATATATAAAAATATTTTAGTTACTTGTACATAAGCATACTGTAATTTCTTAGTTATACATTACGAAACTTTTCTGCTGAATAATATGGTCTTTTAGATGGATAGGCTTTTGTCAATTTACGGAACTTAAGGAAAGAAGTTGTATTAAGTTGCAAAGGGAGATGGTTGTATAATTATATTGCTGAATATAATATGGGTTTCTTTACTAACTCAGTGGCCGGGATCAGCAAATACACATCAAAGGTTGAATTTCTGGTGGGGTAGTCATGATTAGGTCTTGCTAGAAAAACATTTAGATGTTTACAAATTAAGCAAACGGTTTCTAAAATATATAAAGACGGAAGAGTTAAAATCCTGTGATTTTTGAAGTAGCTTCTGCAATGTGATATTTTACTGAGGCCAAAAAGATACAGTGTTGCTCTTTTTTGTAATTTAAAAACAACATTAGGTAGGGTAGCTGTACTAGAACCCTAAAAAGGAAGACCATATCGAAGATAAGACTATGTATGTATCAAAACTATTGAGATTCTGAATTTTAGTGGCAGTGATATGAAAATTTGTCAGATGATGAATATTACTGAAAAAGAACAACTTTTTTTCAAGTTCAAACAGAAGATAGTGAAGAGCTGAACGCCTTCCAATTTGATCTGTAGCAAACTAGAAAAAGAAAAACGAACGTTCATTTTGATTGGCAAGATAAACATTTGAGCATATGTGACGAATTATTTCTTATTTATTATTCAAGGGTAATCAGTGCTTAGGAAACGATATTTTGAATTTTGATGGTATTTTCAAGTTTTTTAATGTTAACTAGGCACTGAAAAACCTTTTTTTTAAAAGCTCCATAAGTAGTGTGTTTCCTGTTAAATGTCAGATGGTAGAATATTGTAACATTTAACACAATAATACAAAGGACTTATCTCTGTTATAGAAAGTTTTTAAAAAGGAACATAAGTAATACATTCAAATATAAAGATGGCTGAGAAAGTGAGCATATTGAGTGATTTGAATTGGCCTCTACAGGATTCTCCTGCTTTTAATCCTAAGATCAGCCATACTGCCTTTTTTTGGACTATAAAGACAGTTGAGCTATCTACTGCAGCACCCCAGAAGATTACTCCATATCACATAACAGAATTAAAGTTTGCATAATATATTGATAGTAAAATCCCCTCGTCTATAGAAAATGTCACACGGAGAGTGCAGTACTTGTAAGATACAGCAATGCTTTTCTTATGGAGAATAAACGCGCAGGGTTGTCGGTTTTCTACAGCTGTTGATTGCTCATTGTCTCACAGGACCGGCTTGGATAAAATTCATCTGCCAACTGTACGAGTAAAATATTTTATATCATGTATAAGTACGTATATAGTAGAATAAAAAGGCATTGATGAGTTATTGACAACGAAAACTATGAATTTTGCTTATAAAACATCAACATGAGATATACAGTTGAATCATATTCATAAGAGTAACATTTGAACACCTCTTTACAAGAACAACATACAATAACTGTAGTTTTAATGTTTTACATAAAATAGAAAAACCTACATAATTTCTAGGAAAGAATTTGGAAACTTGGAAATGATATTATTTATAGATATTATATATAATATTCAAATTTCCAATTCTTTCATAGAAATTAGATTGTTTCTATTGTATGTAAAATATAAGAAATACAGTTATGTTGTTTCTATAAATAGGTCTTCATTTCTTTTGCAAAACTTCTGCTACAAATTACCATCATTAACATAATCACCTAAATATGGCCATAAACTTGTTTGTCATAATTAGTATTTGATAAACTCAAAGCTTTCCCTATTTTACCCCCTACCCATCCTTAGGATGGGTAGGGGGTGAAAGTGCTTGTGGAAAACGAGACTACACTTCAAAATTTAGTCTGAGTTTCAACAGAGAGCATGGAGTCCTATAAGTTTAAATCCGGTGAATTATTTAACGGTTGCGCTAAACTCGTAGTGTTAAATGTGTTGTGTTTTTTACAAAATACGGAACAACGACGTACTTCGTTGATAACTGGTGTTAGCGAAAGAAGCATTTACAATTTCAAAAAAGAAAAAGAACACAATGGAATGTTGAAATCGCCAAAAAAAGGTAAAAAAAACGAGTGTGTCAATCAAATTTTAGAATATTCACATATGACGAGGGTGTAAGAAGTATTCTACGGAGAATTGTTCATTGTGAATTTTTCATGAAAAATTTGCCGCCATTCTTAAAGCATATACATAACTTCATACAAGGTAATGAGAATATACAGCCGTTGTCTCTTTCTACTTTATACAGACTTCTGAAAGATGTTGGATTTGTTTATAAGAAACGTGGCCGAAGAAGCATCATGGTGGAGCGAGAGGATATTATTCATTGGCGCCATAATTATTTGAGAACCATATGACGTTTGCGAAAAGACCATTGCAATATCATATATTTGGACGAATCGTGGGTTAATGTTGGCCATTCTATAAATTACGAATGGTGCGATACTACGATACAAAACAGTCGTGATGCTTTTCTCAAAGGTTTAAGTACTGGCTTAAAAGCCTACTCAACGAGGTCCACGATATGTTTTATTGCATGCGGGTTTTTCAGGAGGTTTCCTTCCTGGCACACAGCGTGTTTTTCTGACAAAAAAAAATGATGGCGACTATCACGATGAAATGGATGCCGCATATTTTGAGTCGAGGTTTAAGGAGACATTAATATCAAATTTAGCAAATAATGGTCGCAGGAATGTCATTGTAATGGACAATGCATCGTACCACTCCCGTAAAGAGAGATTCCCTAACAAATCCTGGAATAAAGCTGCATACAAGGAATGGCTAGTGGAAAAAGACATTTTTTTCGAGGAGTGTTATTTGAAATCCGAGCGATTAGAAGCAGCGTGTGCTTTTAAAGATCAATACGATAAGTATCATCTTGATGAGTATGCTTCACAACATAATGTTTATATTTTAAGGCTTCCTCTATATCACTGCGAATTGAATCCTATAGAAATGGTGTGGACCCAAGTTAAGCGATATGTAGGTACCCATAATACCACTTTTAAAAACGACGAGGTACGCCAGTTGATCGACGACGGTTTCGCACGCGTCACAGAGCAAAATTGGCGCAATTATGTCACTCATGTTGTTGAGAAAACGGAAACTGAGATGTGGACTGCGGACAACCTACAAGATGACGTAGACCAATTGATAATACACGCGAACACAGGGGAGAGTAGCGAAAGCGAATCCGATATCTCGGATGTAGAGGACGAGTATATGTTTAGTATAATTAATTGAATATCTGTGAGTAACCTCGATTATTTTACACTGTATAACCAATAAAATGCATTTACCAGTCCAATCAGAGTATGGGCTTTTCGGATATTGGGCTGGGTGCACGGAAATCGAGTTTCCGGAGGTTCCACCCTGTATATTTATAGCTATCAAGAAATGTAATTTAAAATAGATTTGTTAGTTTAATAAAGTATAAATATATAATGTTAAATAACTTACACTATAAACCTTATACCTGCTCATCTGGTCAAGTGTGGGCAAGGAAAACCATTATCCCATATGGACTAACACAAGGTTTCGCTGAAAACTACCAGGTTGCTATGCCAAGGAACTAGGTAAACTTATGTTGTGTGTAAAAAATGCGAGACTGCATTATGTTTTAACAAGGACAAAAACTGCACATCAGATTTCCACAAAAAAAATTTCATAGTAGGTGTTAAAATTTCGCAGTGATTCAAGTGCACAACTTGGTTTTTTAATAACATCGTCGGGATTAAAAAATATGCAAAGCTTTTTCGATATTCCCGTTCCTGATAATTTTTCACATATTTACAAAAGAAAAAGTTTTTCTTGGATATTTGGCTGGGTGCACGGAAATCGAGTTACCGGAGGTTCCACCCGGTATATTTATAGCTATCAAGAAATGTAATTTAAAATACATTTGTTAGTTTAATAAAGTACCTATACAGTTTTATAATAAAATTCTCGCTAAAAACTTAAGGTCTTTTTATTCAAATTCATGCCTCTTATTTAACTACTTGAAGGCAATTATTTTATCAAAATATTATTTTATACTAAATAACAGAGCCCGGCGTAGAGATCTGGATACGGTTCTGTGACTACCACTTGGACCTGTTTGTATCGCCAAGCACAAGGCGTGAAATCCGGCAATTGTGCATTCCTATATTATCCGTACTGCACTCTCAGTGTGACATTTTCTATAGATAGCTCTTAATGAGTAGCAGTCTCTATTCAGTTTTTTGGTGTACTTATTTTGTATTTTTCCCCCCAGTTCAAATTCTGGTCAATATGGAGACCATGAAATTTAACTGATCTAGCAGGTTCCGTGTTTTGTGATAGAGAATTGATTGTATGTGGGAACTGTTCTCGTGACTGTCTGGTTCTAAAGTAGACACAAATTGTCTTATCAGTACTAAGCAACAACCGATTTCCACTGAACCAAAGTTTTTTTTCAGAAAAGCACATTTCAGTCATCAGCACATTTCACCAGGTAGAAAAATCATTAAAAAGGGCCAAAACTGTTTGGGATTTTAATGGCTATGCTCAATGTGTTCTAGATTCAACAAAACAGACCCATGTTGTAGCATTAGAGATTAGACATTTCTATGAATGGACAGATTTCAGTTCAAAATACAAATTAAAAAAGATAACACCACGCTGCTATCTCAATAATATTTCGCTCGCAATTTTTACGAGAGGCGAGAAAACATTAAAGTATAAAAACTCGTTTGACACATAAAATTTTACAGAACTGCAGGAACTTTTTATCTGCAGGTACATTTAAAACTGGTGTGACACTTCCACCTCCACGAGCATCTCCGAGGAATTCGTCAAGGGGAAGGAGAAATTTTTGGGAAGAATTACCGGTAGGCTATGCAGCTGAGGAGGACGAAAATGGAGAATATTTTACAAAATTATGTTAAATTTTTTTTATATGTACCTAAAACAATGTCTCGTTATAAGTGCAATAAAATTTCGTTATAAAATATCTTGTCCTATCTGAGATTTTTAATAAAATCCTAATCTAAACCGTCCTATAACTCATGTAAGCTATACACTAATTGCTTCCGTGGACTATCCCATAAATTTTATATACACAAATCAAGTTAATTCAAAATTACAGTTTGATATCATTAATATTACGGATGGTGCAGCAAATTAAAGTTATTATAGCACAATTGGTAGATAGGACCTTTGATCTTAGCAGGGCAGAATAGAGGGGTGAATATTAAGGGCTGTCTATATTTATTATTGGTGTATCATAAAAATAAATTGTGTTCAAAAAATAAAAAAATAATGTCTGGGGTTAACAACCCTTAGTCCTTTGGGGTATGAAAAATAGATAACAACCTATTGTCAGACCAACAGAATACGCATGTAAAATGTTATAAAAATCGGTCTAGCCATTTCAGAGAAGGAAGGTTTCACATGACAACAATATACAGTGTTCCCAAGCGGTCACCCATCCAAATAGTAACTGGTGTAGCTAAGTCCAACACTCCAACAGAAGAAAAACAGTCCACATTAATAATTCGTGAGCAACTCTTACACTCTCATTGAGTAAAAAAGTTTTCTTTACATAAAGATATATCAATACGAAATAAGATTTTAGTAGTAAAGGAGAAGTAACTATCTTAATATATAAAAACATTATAATTCAATATATTTATTATAACTTTCATTATTTTTTCATATTTCAATATTTCAGAGCTCTTCCACAATGAGTGATTTTGGCAAGGACTTCTTTTTGGATCCTGGAATTACGATTAAAGAAGAACCTCTCTATAACGATAACACGACCATGAATATGTCAGCTAGTGTCCCCATACCTTCAAGGAGAGATGCTGGGGACTATCGAGACTTCGGCTTAGATTTTGAGAATTCACAGAGTCCATTATACTCCGATGTAGGTTTAAACGCTCAGATGCAAGCCCCTAACAGTATGTTTGATGGTGGTTCATGGTCATTTAACAGATTAATCAACAGTGACGAGATGCTCAAGTCTGAAGCCTTCATACACATGGATGAAGATGATATTTTTCAAGTTGATAAAGCTGATCTGATACAAGGACCCACTCTAGCTGAGTTAAATGCTAATGATGAAAACTTATTAGGTAAAAATGGTAAATTATTTTTATTTATTATTCTTAATGCTAGACTAATGTAAATGCACTTAACACTTAATATTTTAATTTAGAAATATCTGTTCAACACTGAGTTTAGTCCAATCTCTGATATTTCTCAGCCAAGATTTCTTCTTTTTTCCCTCTACTCGTCCTTGCATGATGAACTGTTGCCAGAAATTGGTGGTTGAAAGGGATATGAGTCAGAGTCAGTGCTAAATTATTAATGAAGTAGTTTCAAACAAGATAATGATGAGAAGTAAACGTTTACCTATTGAATAGTATGTTTGGTAATGAATCAAAATCAATCAACAGTTTAGAAATTCGTAGGTGCCTTGTTTTCTCTAATATAAGCAGCAAATAGAAGCAAATATTTTATAAAAACGTTCCCCTTTAAATTATCAATAATTAGTTTCTCTTTTTACCCTCACACAATATTGATTTTATTTTTTATAAATATGGATATTGATATTCCTTTCAAAGTGTTATTGCTGACATTACTTGGTTAGTTATTACATCAGATATGTTTGTAAATTACAAATTAAAACTGTTTTTAATCTTTTTCTCTTTTTTAAATAAAAACATTCTAAATTTAAAAATATGGGTTAATTAAAAAATTAGCATTTTTATCATTTTTCTGTATATCTAACGTATGAACGGTTGTGTTTTTTCATATGAACATAATTTATTTATTTAAATTTACTGAATATGTAAATAATCACAATCGCCAAAACATTGATAATATTGTTTTATTGTTATTATAACAACTAGGGAAATATGTACTAAAATACTAAAAACCTTGAACATAAACTTTCCGCATTATTCTAAAAAGGTTCCTGTATTGCGCTACTGGATTTTTGAACTCATATTCGATCATTTAAGCAACTTCTTGGGAATCTGAAGAACCAACGAACTTGAAATTAAAATAAGCGTGATTAACCTAAGCTTTCCTCACATATTATGACAGTGAATTGAATAGCAGTAATAGCAAACAAGCTGATATAATGTAAACATGTGTAGTGTTGGAAAGTAAAGAAACTTTATTAGGATATAAAGTTTAAAAAATAACTAATAGTCCAGTCGTCGATCTCTAAAAACGAGACGAACAGTGAATTTTGCTGGAAATGTCAATTTTGTGACCCAAAAAAAAATAGCCGCCGTAGAAAACATGTTTTAAGGCTGTTTTAGCAGTTAAAGCACACTGCGATTTGAAAAGAGCGTATGGGAGAGCGCCCACCAAACTGGCGTGGCAAGTAGCAAGTAGCACGCGTCTAGCATGTTACCTAAAATGTAACCAATGAACACGAATGATTCAGCACACAGCAAAATGACAGATACGTTATTCATTCTAATCAACAAGTCAACTGCTTCAATCCAGAATTCGATCTCACAAACATGACAAGAACAACGTCACTGCGCTCACAAAAGATGAAAGTGAGAAGAAGCATAAATTTGATTTTGAAAACATCAAAATTTTAAAAACAGAACAGAACAAAAAGAAGAGGGAGTTATACGAATCAATAGAAATAAAAAGAAACACCAACGCAATAAATGACAAAAAAGATACACACAAAACCTAAATAAAATATATTTCAATCTGATTTAAATAATAATAATATAACATCATAAAAAGCTCTTAAAGTCATAACATATCTCCACTTTACCTTTTTCGAAAACATCAATGATACGCCCATATAAAAATAATTATATACTAAGTGACAGTAAACCATGAGATATCAGATATCAACTTTTATTTGTCAGTTCGTTAATGTCTGTGTCATGTTTTACGTTTTGGTAAGTGATATATATATATATACATATTTTATAATATCTGTTTGTCCTTATACATATACATTTGAGAATCTTGATAGAATCTTGACAAAGGCAAGGGTTTCCTGTCGAAACGTTGATTGTTATGGAAAATAAAATCTAGTTCCCCATATAATATATCTTTATTGAACCTAAACCCAAGAAACACTAATTTTATATTAAATATAATACGGTTCAAGAAACTCACAGCTACTAAATTCTCCTGTAGGTGGTTGGCTAACAAAAGGTTGTCAAATAATTATATTATAAAAATCTAATAGGTACTTCAGCGGGTTGCTGGATTCTGAACTAATTCAAGCACTCATTCATAGGTGGTCAAACCACCTATCGCTTCCTAAAGCCGGCCACTCACGGTACAGCGGTGTCGTTCGACATAATCGGACAGAGGAGTTGTTCAATTTGTTGGTATATCTGGTGCGCCCACACACGCAGTATTTGTTCGGTTCTCGACCATGTCAAATCAAACAATCATTTTAGCGTCTCTTACTTTGTGTATAAATTCTTTGTGTATAGATTCTGGTGCAAAGAATCCAAGATTTTGGTGCAAAATAAATCTTGTCTGCCCCCTGCACTCGATTTACTGGACTGCGCTGCTAATTTTAATTCTCTTTTATAGGATGTTTTAAAATTGTTAATTTTTTTTACATACATTTCATTCGCATCTTTGTTTACTTCTTGGAACTTTAAAACTAGAATGTCCATTGCCTGTTTCCGGGCGTTTCTATCGTGATACGTTCTACCTTTTATTCGCTATAGCATTCTTGTTTTTTTTTATATAATTTAAAAAAACTCTCTTAAAAAATTCTCGCTAAATCAAGCCATTTCGATTTTCTATAATATGATCAAAGCAAGTGTTTAGTTAAAAACGAAGTTGAACAACGCCGCTGTATCGTGAGTGGCCGCCTTTAGGCAAGCCCCTCTTTCGTTTACCGGAGATGGAGATTTTGAGCGGTGTTGCCAATATCATTCCACTAGATGTTTCTAAAATAAGTGCATGATATAGAAAGACCTCAACACAGCTATTCCGTATAGCAACCAACACATTCATCATAGCCAGAATGATCGCCAACGTTCGGAACGGACAGGCACCCTAAAAAGAAGACAACGCTATATTTTATTTTTTCAAAATATCATTTATGATACTCTTTCATTTTTATGAAACATTCTATACCTAAACTCATTACTTTCCGAGATATTTTTAGTTCTCTTCAATTTTTATCAGATTAACTTTTTTATTTTATTCTTGTTATTTATATTAGCATTCCCATTCCCAATTCCATAATACATATATCCGTAACTTAGTTCCAACTTTCAGTGTAGTACATCATTCCATCCGTCCACGTATTTCCCCGTTGTGTTGTAAAACCGATCGTAGATACCTAAACCGTTATAAAAGTCTTCAAATTATATTAAATCTACGCTATTAGTTGATAATGTTTCATTCATTTTATTTTTAAACATAATAATTCTTCATTTAGAGTTTATTTTGGCCATTACTGCTTTTTATTATACATTTTTTCTTTACTTCTCGTTTGTTTTACTCGTAACATGTTTTTTCCATGTTATATTAAAAAAATAAATACTCTCTACACGCACAAAAATATTACTATCTTATTTTGAAGTTTACTGCCATGGTCTAACCTTGTCCGGAAACATCAGATTTAAAATAGCTAATTTACAGCCTTGGCAAATACATAACTATTGTTCCTGTTGTAAGGTCAACAACGTGTCTCAGAATTTTAAACTGTTAAAAAATATGCTTGTAGTTTAAATCAATATCGTTTTTGACGAAAAATGTGTTGATTTAAAAATTATGTGTTTTCCTAAATTGTTTTGTAACTTGTGGAAATTACGTCAAATAATATTAAACATTCGTTGTTGTTAAACATTAATATAATAGTCAAAGTTTTATTTTTCTTACTTCAATTGCTTTTTGAAACTAATCTTTCTGAAAAGGTTGCCAATGTGAGTCACTATAAAGTACGACACACTCTCACTAATATGGCACTGTAAAGGCCGTTACAATTCTAATATATTGTGTTTATGTTTTAATGTTTCTGCCGTCCAAAATTTTTTATTTAATTAAATTAATTTATACATCTTGTACATCTTTACACAACAGCTGGAGACAATTGTAAATACAATGCATTTTGGAGACGGCTATCGCCGTATTCCCGTTCTCCTCCGCCAATCCTCTCGGTCCAAGGCATACGCCTCCTCCAAACCTCGCGATTCCATCGCTCTTCTAATTCTTTCATTCCATGAGCGTCGGGGTCTACCTTTTTTCTTTTTCCAAGAGGCTTCCATCTGAAGTTTTTGGGACCAACGTTCGTCAGGCATTCTCAATAGGTGTCCAAACTATTTTAAAAATCTTCTTTATTCTGTCAATGACATTTCTGTAAAATTCATGTTATTTCTTATAGATTCGTTGGTCTTCCTTTCCAGCTTTGATGTTCTAGCACTTCTTCTCAAATAATCCATTTCAACTGCCAACAATCTTCTCTTTAGGTCTGCATTAATTGTCCATACTTCAGAGCCATAACAAAGAACTGATTCAACCATGGTTTGCCCTAATCTTTTTTTGTTCCTTTTGGAAATGTTGCGATCCCACCGTAAAGACATCCGTACAGACATCCTACAATTTTACGTCCCCGATTATCATACGCTTTTCCTAGGTCGATGAAGGTTAGATGTACTTCGGTACCAACCGATATTCTTTTTTGTATTAATTGTTGGAGTATAAACAAGTTATCAGTGCAAGATCTACCAGGCGTAAATCCCGAAAGTAGGTAGGACATATAATCCTCTGTAGCAGTTAGGATCTTTCCGATTAGCGTTTTTAAATATAGACACTTGGTGAGCGGTTTTCCATTCAGATGGTACTTTAATTTGTTGTGCAGCATTGATTCATTAGAACAGATACTTGTTCTATTAGGAGTGGACCTCGTGCTTTAAGTAACTCTACAGCTATATTACCAGGTCCTGGAGATCGCCCATTTTTCATTTTAATTAACGCAGTACGGACCTCGTTGTTAGTAGTATTAATGTTACTATTTGTTTGTCTCTCCACACTGTATACCTCTCCCATATATTCCAATCTGGACTCTTGGAGTAAATTTTTATAGTGATTTTCCCACTTTTCTATAGGAATTAAGTTGCTT